ACTCTTGGGGCAGTGCTGGTGCTAGTGGTGTGCCAGACGGTGCCAGAGCTGCAGACGCTGTACCAAGAATCACAGAATATCAGGGTTGGAAGGGACCTCAGGAGGTCATCTAGTCCAACCCCCTGCTCAAAGCAGGGCCAATCCCCAATTAAATCATCCCAGCCAGGGCTTTGTCAAGCCTGACTTTAAAAACTTCTGAGGAAGGAGATTCCATCACCTCCCTAGGTAACGCATTCTAGTGTTTCACCACTCTCCTAGTGAAAAAGTTTTTCCTAATATCCAACCTAAACCTCCCCTACTGCAACTTGAGACCATTACTCCTTGTCCTGTCATCTTCTACCACTGAGAATAGTCTAGAACCATCCTCTCTGGAACCACCTCTCAGGTAGTTGAAAGCAGCTATCAAATCCCCCTTCATTCTTCTCTTCCGCAGACTAAACAATCCCAGTTCCCTCAGCCTCTCCTCATAAGTCACGTGTTCCAGACCCCTAATCATTTTTGTTGCCCATCGCTGGACTCTCTCCAATTTTTCCACATCCTTCTTGTAGTGTAGGGCCCAAAACTGGACACAGTACTCCAGATGAGGCCTCACTAATGTCAAATAGAGGGGAATGATCACGTCCCTCAATCTGCTAGCTATGCCCCTACTTATACATCCCAAAATGCCACTGGCCTTCTTAGCAACAAGGGCATACTGTTGACTCATATCCAGCTTCTCGTCCACTGTCACCCCTTGGTCCTTTTCTGCAGAACTGCTGCCTAGCCATTCGGTCCCTAGTCTGTAGCAGTGCATTGGATTCTTCCGTCCTAAGTGCAGGACCCTGCACTTACCTTTGTTGAACCTCATCAGATTTCTTTTGGCCCAGCCCTCCAATTTGTCTAGGTCCCTAGGGTATCCTATCCCTACCTGCCACCGTATCTACCACTCCTCCTAGTTCAGTATCATCTGCAAATTTTCTGAGAGTGCAATCCACACCATCCTCCAGATCATTTATGAAGATATTGAACAAAACCGGCCCCAGGACCGACCCCTGGGGCACTCCACTTGATACCGGCTGCCATCTAGACATGGAGCCATTGATCACTATCCGTTGAGCCCGACAATCTAGCCACCTTATAGTGCATTCATCCAGCCCATACTTCTTTAACTTGCTGACAGGAATACTGTGGGAGACCGTTTCAAAAGCTTTGCTAAAGTCAAGAAACAATACATCCACTGCTTTCCCTTCATCCACAGAACCAGTAATCTCATCATAGAAGGCGATTAGATTAGTCAGGCTTGACCTTCCCTTGGTGAATCCATGCTGACTGTTCCTGATCACTTTGCTCTGGTGTAAGTGCTTCAGGACTGATTCCTTGAGGACCTGCTCCATGATTTTTCCGGGGACTGAGGTGAGGCTGACTGGCCTGTAGTTCCCAGAATCCTCCTTCTTCCCTTTTTTAAAGATGGGCACTACATTAGCCTTTTTCCAGTCGTCCGGCACTTTCCCCGATCGCCATGGGTTTTCAAAGATAATGGCCAATGGCTCTGCAATCACAGCCGCCAACTCCTTTAGCACTCTCGGATGCAACGCATCCGGCCCCATGGACTTGTGCATTTCCAGCTTTTCTAAATAGTCCCTAATCACTTCTTTCTCCACAGAGGGCTGGCCACCTACTCTCCATGCTGTGTTGCCCAGTGCAGCAGTCTGGGAGCTGACCTTGTTCGTGAAGACAGAGGCAAAAAAAGCATTGAGTACATTAGCTTTTTCCACATCCTCTGTCACTGGGTTGCCTCCCTCATTCAGTAAGGGGCCCACACTTTCCTTGGCTTTCTTCTGGTTGCCAACATACCTGAAGAAACCCTTCTTGTTACTCTTAACATCTCTTGCTAGCTGCAGCTCCAGGTGCGATTTGGCCCTCCTGATTTCATTCCTACATGCCCGAGCAACATTTTTATACTCTTCCCTGGTCATCTGTCCAATCTTCCACATCTTGTAAGCTTCTTTTTTATGTTTAAGATCCGCAAGGATTTCACTGTTAAGCCAAGCTGGTCGCCTGCCATATTTACTATTCTTTCGACACATTGGGATGGTTCGTCCCTGTAACCTCAATAGGGATTCTTTGAAATACAGCCAGCTCTCCTGGACTCCTTTCCCCCTCGTGTTATTCCCCCACAGGATCCTACCCATCAGTTCCCTGAGGGAGTCGAAGTCTGCTTTCCTGAAGACCAGGGTCCGTATTCTGCTGCTTCCCTTTCTTCCGTGTCAGGATCCTGAACTCGACCAACTCATGGTCACTGCCTCCCAGATTCCCATCCACTTTTGCTTCCCCTACTAATTCTTCCCGGTTTGTGAGCAGCAGGTCAAGAAAAGCTCTCCCCCTAGTTGGCTCCTCCAGCACTTGCACCAGGAAATTGTTGGCGCCATCATCAATATGATGGGAAGAACTGTCGATGGAGCCAGTGCTGATCTGCTCGCAGGTGCCGATGAAGGAGGAGGGCCCGTCGCCGACATCAGCACTGGGGCAGTCAGTGCCTGCGTCATAGCCGACGTCGACAACAGTGCCAGTGTGGAAGATGGGCGCAAGGACGCTGCCAAGATTGGTGCTGCTGTCAGAGGCATTGCGCTGTGGGCACGCACCGAGGGCAGATGCGTAGCCGATGGCGGGACAATGGTGGCTGAGGCCACAGAAGAAGTTGCGGAGCGGTGACCTTGGGTTCCTCCCTGTACTTGGTGAAAGGCCCAGGGAGTCCAGAAAGGCCACCGAGGTGGGTTCTGCCACTGCGGAGGCCACGCCTGGGGCTCCCTCCTGTCTCTCACGGACCTCTATCTGTGGTTCCTGCTTCTCCTGGAGCAATAGGAGTCGGACTCTGACTCCGAGGTCTCCGAGACTGAAGACCATGGGGGAGCCGAGCCTCGGTGCCTTAAGCGTCAAGACCTTGGGGAGCGGGTAGGCTCTCTGTCTGAGTGAGCTGGTGGCGAGGGGCATGGAGGGGGGGGCACCTCAAAATCACAGCCAGCTTCCCTCTTGACTGCATCGCGGGACGGGTCCGCCACTGCTGAAGGTTCTTTCCTCCTGAGGGGGGCGAGAACGGCACCATAAGGTGCAGGAGGTCCCAAGCAGCTTAGTAAGCTTCTGGCATTGAAGGGAGCTATAGCTGCGACCGAGGGGGGGCCAGACTCAGCTCCCTCACTTGGGCAGGAGTCGACATGGCCCCAGCAGGGGATCCGGAGCTGTGGCCCATCTGGGGTCTCACGTCTCTGGATTTAGCCGGAGGAGTGCAGCTGTCCGGCTTCTTTTTCTTCTGAGGCACCGGTGAGTGGGATCACTGCCTGCTTTCAGCTGGGCCTCGTGAGGTGCCTGTTAGTACTGACATCTCGGGATGAGTCCTTTCTCGGTGCTGAGCTTGACGACGGTGCCAGGGCACTCCGCGTCAAGGATGAAGCGTTGGGAGCCAGGTCCCCTGAGCCCGGGTCAGAGTGGGGGCATAGGGCTGCCTCCACGAGGATCATCTTAAGCTGCTGCTCCCTTTCTTTAAGAGTTCTAGGGCAGAACTCGTGGCAGATCTTACTGCGTCCTTTTGGTGGACCTCCCCTAAGAACCATGATGAATGTGGATCACTCTTCAGCATGCACTTTGCACAGGCCACACAGTTTTTAAACCCTGGGGACCGTGACACAATATGGCTCCAGGTAGGTGTGCGGGGAAAATCTACTAAGAACTCTAATACTAAGAAGACACTAAGGTAACTATATACGAGTACAGAATGCTCTTGCTAAGCAAGGGCTAAGGAAAGTTCCAGCCAATGGTCACTGGCGGTAAGAAGGAACTGAAGGGGTGGCGGGTCGGCACGGCTCTATATTGAGCGCCATGAAGGTATGACGCTAGGGGACACCAAGGCCGGCCTGACGGATGCTGCTAAGGGAAAAATCTTCCAGCCATTGTGCATGTGCACACACATGATTGGAATGGACATGACCAAGCACTCAACGAACTATTTTTACAAGATCTACAAATTCTGATGCTATTACCCTTGAGATATCGTGGTAATTATATTGTATGCTTCACTTACTCCACACAACACACTGTGGAAAGGAAAAAACTCAGTGGTATCTTACATCAAAATAAACTTAAATGGCAGGCCAATTAAGTTTCTTGGACTAGCAATACACTATCATAGGACCGTATATTGTCACCCATTATTGTAGTATCTGAGTGCCTTCCACATAAAATCAACAGCAAACTTCATGGACTCTCTGGCACGTCTCCTTTTACATGGTAAAAACTCTTTGATGGGTAGTGGTTTTGGTTTACTGAGTATCACTAAAAAGGCTACATCTGCCCTGGTTAAACCCAAACAAAAGCAGTCTTAACCAGGGGAATGTATATAAAGTTGAACTTAAAATGGATGAAAAATTATCAGGATATAACTGCTTTGAATATTTTCAAAAGGTAATTAAAATAAGAAAATATGTATGATGTGCAGAAAAACTTCTCCCTCACCCCAGAAACTTCAAAAGGATTAGCTCTTTAAACACCCATTCACAGAGGTGAAATAATGGTGCCAAAACAACTGTGCTACTCTGCTAGGTAAATAACTTTCTTGTAAAGAACTGATAAATACAAAAAGCACTCAAAGCACGAAACTACTTCTTAAAGTTCTATAAACAGGTTTTTAAGCAAAAAATGACATTACAGAATAGAAACAGAACAAAAGGAGGAACCTTAATTTCAGGTCTTCACTTTTCTAGGCAACAGCACTTATGTTCCTTTTTTCCCCAGCATAGAAATTCTCTGCTTTTTTCCAGATTAGCTAAGCACAAACTGAAATGTAGAAGCAGCATAACATTTCTCTATAACCTCACCTTCTGCTGCTTCCTGTTACTAATTAGAAACCTGTTGATCTAAGAAGTGAACTTTGCAGATGACTTTTTCCACAAGCACTCTCCTTTAAACAAAAATCTGATACACTGATACCCAAGACTTCACAGCAGTATTTAAATGAAAGAGCTGATTACCTTTTTTCATAGGTAGAGCTGAGCAGACCTCCGTCTGGTCCCTTGGGAATTATCCCCACCCAGATCTGGTGTTTATCAATAACATGTGGATTTTCCAAGCAAACGGGGAAAGGGCTGAGGAAACAGAAGAGAGAGATGATCTCTAACATAAGAATGGCCATACTGGGTCAGACCAAAGGTCCATCTAGCCCATTATCCTGTCTTCCAACAGTGGCCAATGCCGGGTGCCCCAGAGGGAATGAACAGAACAGGTAATCATCAAGTGATCCATTCCCTGTCACCCATTACCAGCTTCTCGCAAACAGAGGCTAGAGACATCATCCCTGCCCAGCCTGGCTAATAGCAATTGATAGACCTATCCTCTATGAATGTATCTAGTTCTCTTTTGAATCCTGTTATAGTCTTGGCCTTTACAACATCCTTTGGTAAAAAGAGTTCCACAGGTTGGCTGTGTGTTGTGTGAAAAAAAAAACAAAAAACTTCCTTTTGTTTTAAACCTGCTGGCTATTAATTTCATTTGGTGACCCCTAGTTCTTGTATTCTGAGAAGGAGTAAATAACACTTCCTTATTTACTTTCTCCTAACCAGGCATGATTTTATAGACCTCTATCATATACCCCCTTAGTCGTCTCTTTTCCAAGCTGAAAAGTCCCAGTCGTATTACTCTCTCTTCATATGGAAGCCGTTCTATACCCCTATTAATTTTTGTTGCCTTTTTCTGAACCTTTGCCAATTCCAATATATCTTTTTTGAGATGGGGCAACCACATATGCACGCAGTATATAAGATGTGGGCATACCACGGATTTATATAGAGGCAATATGATATTTTCTGTCTCATTATCTATCCCTTTCTTAATGATTCCCAACATTCTGTTCGCTTTTTTGACTGCTGCTGCACATTGAGTGGATGTTTTCAGCAAACTATCCACAATGACTCCAAGATCTCTTTCTTGAGTGGTAACAGCTAATTTAGATCCCATCATTTTATATGTATAGTTGGGATTACGTTTTCCAACATGCATTACTTTGCATCCTCTTCATACCAGTTCTAAGCCATCACTTCATTTCCAACCCCAAGCATTCAAAAATCGTGAGATAAGTCCTGTGAGATTGGTTTAGGGCTTGTCTACATTACCCGCTGGATCGACAGGCAGTGATCGATCCAGTGGGGGTCGATTTATCGTATCTAGTCTAGACATGATAAATTGACCGCCAAGCGCTCTCCCATCGACTCCGGTACTCCACCAGGGTGAGAGGCGCAGGCGGAGTTGACAACAGAGCATCAGCCGTCGATTTACCGCAGTGAAGACACCGTGGTAAGTAATCTAAGAACGTCGACTTCAGCTACGTGAATACTTAGATCGATCCCCACCACCCAGTGTAGACCAGGCCTTACAAACAGTAAATAATGCCATCTAATGACTTTATTTGCACACAAAGAAATGAACTTACATCTGCATTTCCATGGTGAAGGAGGACAGTGGGGAGAGGGTCCCACTAGTGAGAATGATTGTCCGGACTCCCTGACGGACCAGCTCATGCATGCTGTACCCGGGGCTGAAACACCAGTAGCTCAAGATCTTTCCTGTATCAAATAGAAAATAAAACACTAAGAACTGAGATCTGTCTATACAGTGAAGACTATGTGTCTGAGTTGCGCGTGGTGCAAACCAGAGTTTGAGGTTCTATAACTGGAGATGGGCACAAACAACAAAGCCAGAACCTAGAGCTAAGCTTTCATACCTGTTTAGGGATGTCTGGACCTGGGGTTTGTGCTTCAACTTGTCTCTGAACTTAAGTCTGCCAATTCAAAGCAGGATTGAAAGGTCAACACCCACTCAAATTTCCGTGGTTTCTAATTTCAACAAGAGACTGTTATCTTCATCAAACACACAGTCTACTAAGGACGATTCTGCGAACCAGAGAACCAAGGTTGATGGCATCACATCAGGCACCATGTATAGAGAAGTTCCCAGAACTGGCTCAATCCTATGAATCCACGGATCTCTGGGGCATCCCCACAGGCAGCATCAGGGTCAAGATGTGCACCCCTTCATACACTGATGGAGAGTGTGAGAGCACAGTGTGCTCAGGTATTTTTATCCATCCTGGCAACATGATCGAAAAGCATGCAAGATCACTTTTGAATATAAGGAGTGACTGAAGGAAGGCCTGAGACCGTTGAAGAGCCCAAATACGTCACCCATTACACATACCTTAAATTAGGCCCTCCTGATCCAAAGACAGTAATTGCTACATCTTTAGGGGAGCTAACTGAAAACTTCCAACCCTGATCAAGCTGTGCTTCTCAAGTGAGTCACTCAGTACCCATCATTAGAGGGGGGAAACTTATTTTAAACCTATGTTTTATTCTCTGCACTGCTTCCCACACACAGCCCTTTGGGCAAACACACCCAGGAGATACTGAAATCCTTGGAGATTTATGTTGACTGTGAGCAAACCTCTTCACTATACACCAAAACTGGTGCATATTAGCATGGTGGAGGCAGTCTCTAATTGGACCTGTATCTGGATAGGTCTGGGAGTCTGCCCACACAAGGTGAGTAGACACACTCACGCAAGGAGCATAGGTAATCCCAGGTGAGGAGGATGCTGAGGGTGAGAGAGGGAGGCTTAGAGAGAGGACACACCCCCTTTCAACTCTTAAGCCCACCCCTGAAACATCCTCTGTCTCTGAACATGCAGGGGGCTTTCACAGTGTCAATTCCATGGATTCTGGAGGAGCCAGGATTGGACCACAACAGCTACAGTCTGTGGTTCCTCAACTAACTGTGACTTTTTGAGCATAAGGGTAGCCCAAAGCCAGAATTTAGCCCAAGGTGTTGAACTCTTTTTAGTGAGCTGAGCCAAGACAGATCCCCATAAAACCCGAGACAAAGCGACACTTTTCAGGCACCTGACAGTATTCCTACAGACTATCCTAACAGGAGCATTACAGCACTTATGTGAGGAAATATTTGCTTTTGGCTATTTTTGCCATCTGTAGGATTTGTATATGTTGTACGTCTACTAACTAGTTTGTCATGAGTAATTTTTTTGTTTTGAAGGAGAGGTAAAGAAAATATTTTGTCCCTGGTAAACTGTGGAAGATTTTCGTGACAATTTTGCAAGGCTGATGTATACAAAACACCCAAACAACGTAAAAAAACCAAAACAAAACCAAAACAAATGGCCCAGTTTGCTCCGCTTCCCCTCCCCCGACCCCTCACAATGAAGTTTGTTCCGAGGAGAATTCCTGTAATAGAAAACTAAGATTACACAATATCCAAAGAAAACAAAACATGCAAGTTATAAGAGAACCATGATAACATTTAGAACTGACATCACTAAAGTCAACACTTATTTCATTGAAATACTTAGAAGAGGCAGTCCAAAAACATTAGCTGAAGTGCTATGACTACTGATATTCCTAAAAATAAGTTGTTTTTTGGCCTCAAGATGAATAGTTCTACCTGGAAAAAACAAACAGCTTCCAGTAGTTAAGTGCCAAAATTATGAAACCAGATACCGACAAAACAAAACAAGAAACTCTTAATGCATGTCTACACTGGAAATGGAAGTGTAATTTCCATCTCAAGGAAAGATGTGTTAGCACTTATCAAGCCAGTGCACTAAAAATAGCAGTGTAGCTGCTATGCAGAGAGTGGGAGGACGGGCTAGCTACCCAGAGTACGTTTCCATCTGTGATCTTAGGGACGTACTTGTGCGGCTACCCCTCCCACGGCTCAGGCTACTGAGGCTGCACTTCTAGTTTTAGCTCACTAGTCCTAATCCAGCTAGTGCAGGTATGTTTCCTCGAGCTGGACATTACATTTTCCAATTTCAATGCAGATGTATCCTTAGAGAGGCCTCCAGACAACCAAATGATTTCCTTCTAGCACTGTGTACCATCTTCTGTAGGAAACTTAAATACAGGGACTCTAACATAACTTCTGAACCTTAATGCTCTAACCAGAGATTGTCAAAAGGTCTGTTTTGTTTGCTCTGATTAACGGATATATATAATTTTTTTTTAAAAGGGAGACTATATCCTCACTAAATCCAACTTGGAGCTGGTTTAGTGGCTTGGGGGAAAGCCTTAAGTTCAGAGAGAAACTTGGCTTCTGAATTCTGTGTTTAGTTCTGCAGCAGGGTTATACTGGAGATGGTGCCAGCTACAAGATATAAGGAGCGGTAGTAACAACAACAGAAGAAAACCCTATTTAATCACGAAAGGCTTAAAATTTACAGTTAAGGCTGAAGATCCACCATGACAGCACCCAGTTGTGCTTAAGTATGGAGGTCTCACAAGAGGGTTACCTCACAGAGCATATTGATACTGTGATGCTGCTAACTGGCATGGCACCTCTAGTAAAATAAGCATGGGAGATTTAATTCCAAAGGGTAATTTTTCTGGCACATTGCAAGAGCCTGATGATAGGGGCTTAGAATGAGACAACCAATTACAGTGCTGCAGCCAGAACTGAAAGGTTTCTACTGAGATAACAACTCAGAACATTTACAGGTACTTTACCCCTGCAATTAAAAACCGGCAGCTAGCCTGTGCCAGCTGACTTGGGCTCCAGCTCAGGGGCTGTTTAACTGCAGTGTAGGCATTTGGGCTTGGGCTGGAGCCCAGACTCTAAGACCCTGTGAGGGTCCCAGAATTCGGGCTGCAGCCCAATAACATCTACTGTGCAATTAAACAGTCCCTTAGCCCAAATCCATGTCAGCTGGCATGGGCCAGCTGTGGGGTTTTAACAGCAGTGTAGACATATTCTATATAAACAATAACTTATTCTTAGAAATAGTTTTACATAGAAAAAGGCCAAGGTGTTGCCTTCTATTTGTTATATCAAAAATGTGTCCACTGTGTAAGCTTGCAAACCCAGTTCTCTGTGTTTGCGCCCATGCAGACGATGCCCCAGTAATGTACTTCCATTGCCACTTAGAGACACCACAAACTCTACCTGACCTGTTGTTTAATACCAGGCTTTACACAGAAGGACAGTGACTATAATTCAGAACCTTCAAGGCTCATTGAGCAGCAGTTTATGCTACAAAGACAGTTAAAAGACAAATAACTGCACTGGCTTGCAAAGATTCCAAGGAGCCAATTAACCTCACACCTTATTGGCTCCTGAAGTTAAGTCTTACAAAGCTAGTGCTGCAGTCTTAATCAACCTTTTAACAGCAGAAAAGCGTGCAACAAGGAAGACTAAAGGCAAGAGCAAAATCTCAGTATTTCCCCCCAACCACCATGGGTACTTTTTCCACTTAGGGCTAGTCAACACAGTTTTGTATGGGTATAACTATTTCAGTTAAGGGGCTGATTTTTTAAAATAGTTATACCTGTTCAACCTCTAGCAAGGACAGTGCTTTATGCCAGTATAGCTTATTCCCTTCCTACAGAGGAATAGGTGTACTGGTATTAAGCACCTCTGAAGTGATTTCACTGTGTCCACACTAGAGGGTTTATATCAATTTAACTGATTTAATACAGTTAAAGCAGTGCAATTTGTGTTCAGGCAAGCCCACAAAGTTCCCTAAGGAGCTACTCTGTTTTGCCTTCCCACCCAGCACAGCCATTTTTACATTCAAGGAAGACTTTGTGGAACTTCATGCACAGCCCTGAGATGGCACTCCCTAGCCTGCCAGAGAGCTCCCCGTTGAGTGACGTGAGACACTGCAGACTGAAATACTTGCTGTACTAGCATTTTCAACCACTCGGACAGTTTCCAGTATTTATTTTATTTAAGTCAGGGAAGGCCTCGTTAACCGGCTTTTGTATTAACCTCCCATCACAGCCCACTCCTGCACCTTCTTTTTTTGTTACTGATGAACTCCACAGGTCTGTCCTCTGGGTTTTTTTCTGATTACTGGTATCCATATGAATGTGCACCTGTGGAAAAAATAGGTACATGACAACATCTTCCCACAGACTGTTGCAGAAATTAGATATCTGCACCCCCATAAGCCTGGGTCCAGCCCTGGATAATTGAGGTTCACCAGCAGTTCTTAGAATGCTTACAGTGTTTGGTATTTGCCTTTCCTCATTTCTCTCCCACCCATCCCCCTCAAAAAAACCACCCAACAAGAACTACAGGAACACACCACCACCCAAATTGCCATTTTGAACCAATTTGTTAGAGCAGGATTTCCTGGGTTGCATAAAGCAAAGGCAAAGAATACAATTATTTAGTATGGCTCTTGTTACCTCCCATTGGAAAGCAGTGTACAGACTTACAAGGAGAAGATTATTCGAAGGAGATGGTGTATATAGGGCAACAAAAATATTAAGTCTTGAGAATAAAATTTCTGAGGAAGAAAGACTGGCTTTTCTTCATTTGAGGTGAAAAGTGACCCTTTCAGATGATTTCAAAATGATAAAAGCAAAGGAAAAAGCCAAAAGAAAATGTTCACATAGGTAAAGAGATCAAAAACTACAGGGCAACCTAAAAATTAGTAGTTTGGAGTTAAGGAGGAAGACCAGTAGAATAATTTCAAATGTGGGGTAAACCCATGGAGTAAACTGTCAGGGGAAGTGATTGATGCTAAAAGTATGAATGACAGACATTCTTTCTGGAGAAGGAAAGGATTGAGGGGGGTTTGTTAAAAATGCAAGAAGGTAGGGTTAAGATCAGCCAAAAGAGGGCAGATTTACTGGGCTAGAATTTCTTCCACAGCCTTACCATTTTAATGTCTTACATTTCTCTACCAAAAGGAGTCTGTAGCACAGAGAATGCAGGTGGGAAAGGGCCCTGGGAGTTGCGTGCTACAATTAGAAAGTGATGCCAGACAACAGGGAGGCTAAGTGCTGATGTCTGCAATCCTCAAAGTCTAAAGAAAGGAGATCTAAATCTTCAAAGGATCAGACCCTTTCCAAAATACCTTCAGAGCATCTGCCAAGATTAAACACACAATTCAATTTACCAAATGCAGTAGGAACCAGGTTTATGCAAACCCCTCATTCAAAAATACCCATTTATCCAAAATTAAGAGGTGTCCTAACATTTGGTATTGCATTGAAAGGTAAGTGTATCCCATCTCCATTTATCAGAATAAATTACATTCTCTTCTTCTCTTTTGATAGATGGGGTTTTACTGTATTTCGTATGGGAAAAGAAAAATAAATAGTGTAATAGTTAATTCAGTTCTTTGTCACGGGAATCAAGTTTAGCACTTCCCAAACTCTGTGCAGGACAGTTCATTTCAAACCTTTCCATGCACATGTCCAATTCTTTGGGGGTGGGGGGATTTGACACAGTTTTACTGGTGAAGTATGTCTCTCTCTTGGTAGATAAACATGAAGGAAGAGGAGTGTCCTGTTTTCAAAGCAAATGCACTTTGATGCATGGACTCCCTATGCTGGAATGAAGAGGATGAAATCCACTCTAGGCGTTGTGAATAAAAAGGGTATTCAGAGGACTATAAGTGGGGCTGCAAAACTTGAGCCACCCAAGAGATTAGTGTAGGAATATATTAAGGCCTAGTCTATACTTAAAAGTTAGTTCAACATAGCTATGGCACTCGGGGATGTAAAAAATTCAGATCCCTGAGCACCGCAGCTGTGCTGTCCTAACCCCTGCTTTAGATGCAGCTAGGTTGATGGAAGAATGCTCCTGCTGACCTAGCTACTGCGGCCCAGGGAGGTGGAGTTCCTACGCAATTTAAAAAAACACCCCTCCATCAATGCAGGAAGCATCTACACTATGATGCTACAGCAGCATAGCTATGGTGCTGCAGCTGTGCCGCTGTAGCACCCATAGCGTAGACCTGGCCTAATTCTCGAACAAAAACATGTGGCATCAAAGTTTTCCCATAACTCACAATTGCCGCATCTTCCTGCTTCCTAGGTTCTTAGGAGAAATTTAAGAGCTAAAAATCAGACGTTCCCTTCTTCCTGGAACTTGAGCAATGGATTCTAATCTCAAGCAGTACTCGAAGACTTGAAATCCCCTTGGCTCCCGCCTGTAGGATTTATACATCCTCATCTCCTGGAATTCAACAACATACTTTGATGTTACACTGCCCACTCCCACTGATTTCTGCACTATCTGCTCTTGACTACAACAGCCCATCCATGAAACACCAGAAAGGAAGAGAAAGTGCCAAAACACATCAATCATCCCATACCTTATAATACTTGGATACTGACTGAACTGGCATGGAGCTGGATGTGCCTTCTGGAGGATCAGTGTTAAAAACAATCTAAGAAACAGATGGATAAAGCACAGAAAATTTTAACAGATGCCTCCAGCAAAATCAGTAATGTGTCAAACAATTATGCAAAATGATTGCTGCTGCAGTAACTTTAAGTATCTTTATATCTTTCAGTATTTGTTTTTTATACTCAGGTGCTGTAAGTCTGTTCAAAAAAATAAGACGCAATGGTGAAAATATCTTTGACAATCAGGACAAATATGTTTAAATTCTAGCATATTTTTAGGTTCCCATATGGACTTCACTGTGAGTTGAAAGTACCTGTGACACTATTCTATTAAGTAGAAGGGAAAAATAAGTATTAAAATGTATAACCAGAATCTAAAAGGGTTTGCTAGTATTTAAACAAATTTGTCCTGATTGTCACCATTGTCTATTTTTACGAACAGAATTACAGCACCAGAGTACACAAAACACATATTTGCAAGCACAAATGGATAGTTACAGAACTAGTGAGCCATCTGTGTGAACAAATACCAAATTTATGCAAGCAACACAAGTAACAGTGCATGTGTAAGGTCTAGATAATATTTAGTCCTGCATCAGTGCAGGGGATTGGACTAGGTGACCTATGGAGGTCCCTTCCAGTCCTACATTTCTACGATTCTACGTTATACACAATTGAATATGATTTTGATTAATTTTATGATGAGTAGAAACACTCTACAAATACACAAGCTGGCAATGATGCAGGCTACAGCTGCTTTGAGAAAAATCCCTTTGAATTTCCTGACTTGTGCTTAAAATTTCAGCCACGACATACTGCCCAAACAATTCGCTTTTCAGAAAAAAGCAAAATAAATGCTGCTGTCAAACCTATTTCCACCTCTCCATTTGCACAGCACCCAGCATAGTCTCTAAATGCCACATGCAAAACTAATAGAAGTATCAGCTCTGCTCTGAAAGGACTGTGCATCTCCACTCTTCCTGTGTTTCATGTATTTTATTAAATGACAATGCTTTTATTAAACATATGGGATTGCAAATTCAAATAGATGTTCAGCATCAGTTCAATAAAAATAGCTGGTTATAAACACTGGTGAATAACTGTAATATTGTAAGCCAAGTTTCTGGAGACATTTAAAAGGCATTAACAGTGCTCATGAGAATACAGTTCACAGTAAAAGGAAGGCGTTTCCCATAATAGTGAAGAAAAAATAAAAGCAGCATTCCTGGAAAGCGTAACCAATGAAAATTAACCTTCCTGTGGCCAAAAGGGGTTTTAGCAAATTTCTTTAAAAACTTTTTTTTTTCCTAACAAAAACAAACACATGATAAATTGAAAAGTTATAGCTCTGAAAACAGGGTCATATGACAAGGAAGCATTGAGGCCAAGAGAATAGGGGTCTGAACTGAGTCAGGAATCCCAGCTTCTATTGCTGGTTCTACCACTCAATTGCTGTAGGACACTGGGCAAGAAATTCAACCTCTGTGCCTTATCTTCCCCACATGGGGATAATGATACGTGCCTTCCTTTATAATTCACTGAGATAGATGGATATAAAGTGCTACCGTTATATCAGAGCATACACATGATATCTATTGAATCTATATAGAAATACAACAACCTTTACACAGCTGGGCACATTTCACACACATGAATGCATGAACGGCTCAGCTTTACAAACCAACCTTCTACTGTCCCAGTGATCTGAGGGATCAGAATTCAAATGCCTCACTTTTAGAGCTTCCAGAATTTAGGAGTGCCCATCTCACCAGACATGATAGGAGCAGCTGGGTACATTGAGAGTTAGTAGCAACTCCTATGGAGTAGATGAGTAGCAGCAAAGAAAGGTTCTAAGGTGCTCAAAACTGAGTAAATTCTGGATGAGGTGGCACTTGCCTAACAGGCTCATTTCAACCCAAAGTTACTGGTACACTTTTGACGTGGGTAGAACTTGACATGACAAATCCCATAGATTCCCCACTAAACCTCCTCTTTGTGCTGAGCTTCTGAACTGTGTGTTCCCAAATAGATTGACTGTTAGGAATGAGATCCACTACTGCTGTCTGAAAGGCAGCCTGATTCATCTGCTGAGGAGGCACTGAGCTCAGTGCTGCTGACCAAAACCAAGACACGTTCCTGCCACACATCCAACTTAGCAGGGTTCTAAGTTTCAGAACAGTACTTGACCTGAGGCTCAGTGTGACACTACTTTGATCCCAAATCTGATTGTACAGATAGAAGTTGTTTAAGGTGTTGATGGCCCGGAGCTGGCAGACTGATCAGAATACAGCTCTATGTCTGATCCAGAGGTTCTCAACCCATTGTGGGCCGCATATGCAGCTCTCTCTCTGTTATGTGGGCCGCATCCACACAATATATATATTACCTGTATGGCCCTCTGGATGTCACATGGGCCACAGCTGTGTGCTGATAGGGCTGCAAGTGAGCAGGTTGAGAACCACTGTTCCGATCTTTGCCATGCAAGAGGAAGGGTTAATACATTAATTCTGCTCTTTCAAGTGACCTCCAGGGGGAGCATTTTCTGTAATGTGCTTTTGGAGATCTTCTTTCTGGCAGCACAGCTGACCGCAGCCGGACCAGTAAACAATGGCTGCTGGGAGGAGGAAAAGCTAATTCCTTTTAGGGTAAGAGGGGAATCAATTGGTGGAAGAGGGAGGAAAGATACTGTGATGAATGAGCTGCCTATTCTGTTGTACGAAGCTAGTTCTTTTTTCTTAGAAAAATACAGAATAGAAAACAAGATCACCCCTTCCTGCCAAATTCCAACTCTAGAAGAAGGGGGAGAGTTTATTCAGCTGCCAAAGCATACAATTCTTGATGGAAAAACTAACAAACAAACAGTTATTGGGAAATTCACTATTCCCATTTATGTTTCCAAGAATCACCAGTGAAGTGAAGACACATTAACTACTTGAATGCTGCCAAATGATCCAAGGACAGGTGACAAAATGCATTTCAGGTACATCACTTGGAAACAGCAACATTTCAGGTTTCAGAGAGGTAGCGTGTTAGTCTGTATCAGCAAAAACGAGGAGTCCTTGTTGCTCCTTAGAAACTAACAAATTTATTTGGGCATAAGCTTTCGTGGACTAAAACCCACTTCTTCAGATGCATGGAGTGGAATATACAGTAGGGAGGTATAAATACACAGCATATGAAAAGACGGGAGTTACCTTACCAAGTGGGGGGGTCAGTGCTAACTAGCCAATTCAATTAAGGTGGAAGTGAGCTATTCTCAACAGTTGACAAGAAGGGGAGGAAATCACTTTTGTAGTGCTAATGAGGCCAATGTAATCAAGGTGGTCCATTTCAAAAGAGCTGACAAGAAGGTGTGAGTATCAGCAGGGGGAAATTAGTTTTTGTAGTGACCCATCCACTCCCAGTCTTTATTCAGGCCTAATTTGATGGTGTCCAGTTTGCAAATTAATTCCAGTTCTGCAGTTTCTCACTGGAGTTTGTTTTTGAAGTTTTTTTGTTGAAGAATTGTCACTTTTAAGTCTGTGTGAGTGTCCAGGGAGATTGAAGTGTTCTCCTACTGGTTTTGAATGCTATAATTCTTGATGTCAGATTTGTGTCCATTTATTCTTTTGCGTAGAAACTGTCCGGTTTGGCCAATGTACATGGCAGAAGAGCATTGCTAGCACATGATGGCATATATCACATTGGTAGATGTGCAGGTGAACAAGCCCCTGATGGTGTGTGTCACTGAACAAGACGTTTAAGAGCACAGTATCTGGTGTAATTATAGGGAATGCTGGAGCCTACAAAATGTAACATTATTCCCAGTAAAGACGAGAGTAAGTAACAGCATATAAAGTCTTTGGCAAGAAGGGAGACTGCAGACTGACATATATTGTCCTCCCCAGATTTAGAAAAAAAAAAAATTAACTGCTGGTACTATATACAGACAGAAAATACAGGGGAGGCCATTTGAATTAGAAGGTTGTTAACATATTAAGGTGCTTTGGTAATTAAAAAGCACATAAGAAGAGTGGTTTATGCTGTTACAAAATGCAGAGCAGTGCATACAGTTATCCAGTTCAGTTTTCAGATAAAGTGAATTTCATAGAATTTGTTAAATGTTTCTGTTGTCCTTCATGCTACTCCCCTCTGACATAGCAAAAGTGCCAGAAATACTATCCCCCTCCTGCCTGTCTTTACTAGTACTTCTGGCCCTTTTGCTCTTCCTACAATTTAGTTTACGCTTACAAGCAGCATCTTCTCCCAGGAAAAAGTCTGTGTGGCACATGCCTTCTGAGTAAAAAGAATGAAAGTTAACTGCTGGGGTGCAGGGGGGACGGGACGGGACTACTAGCCACTAAGGAAAGTCCATAGAGCTACAGTGAATGGAGGGAGTCAGGGGGGTCTCAACCAACTACAGCAGTCCTTAGGGTCATTGGAGTGGAAGGTGGGAGTAGGCCAACTACTGACTATACAGGGTCACTGGTTTCATCGATTTTTCATTTAGTTTAAGTGTCACTCATCAATCTGAATTTATTTCTTGAATCTCTACCTGGATGTCCAAATGTCTACACTGAATTTATCAATGATTTCTATATATTAAACAATAGAGCAACAAGCAAGAACGAAGCAGCAAGACACGTATACAAATCTTTATAGGGATTACCACCACCTCTCTATGAAAGGCCAGAGGAAAATCTGTTTTGATCCAAAAGGAAAAGGAAAAGTTGGGAGTGTGCTCAGTCAAATTTCACTATCAGCTTTCAGGGAAAGTTCCAATTAAATTTGACATACAGTGACTCAATTGAGGAGACTGCCGTGAAGTCATCAAAGTCTGGAAACAAAGTGACGCCATCCGAAATGTCAGCAACCGTTCCAAAATTAAAACATTACAGTTATGATGCTATTCAGTTGGACCTCTCAGCTCTCCACACTTCATTGTGTACTTTGTCAGTATAGCTCAGAACAAGAACGTTGGCCAAATTTAGAGGTCAGCTAGGAAATGAATTTCAGTTCACCAATCCACAGTATCCTCTAAGCTCTTTGCAACTACTGCCTTCCTCAAAGACATATTTATATTTTCTAGTCCTGCAACAGGAGGGAGATTGCTAGTGCAGTGTACTCAACCATGTTCTTTTGATGTATTATTGAACTGTAGCTGTAAAACATTGTATAGCTGTTCTATTTTAAAAGTTCCTTACATTCAATAAATAAATCAAAAGAACAGAGTTAAGATTATCTACATTCCCCCCCCCCCCCCCCCAACTGCAGCTTACTCTTTCATGGGAATCTCTCTTCTAATCAAATACTGCTGGCTGAACATGCTATTTGCACAACTCAGCGATCCAGCTCCTCCTGGTGGAGGTTAGAAACAACTGAACCATACTTTAATCTGACACCTCTAAAAGGGACGTGTTATATATATATGAATGTTTAAGATTGCCTCTCCCCATCTCATCATAGTGCAGAGAAATATCAATGGATTTTTACTTTCCTTTATTTCCTACTATGTCATATAGCAGAAGTACACAGCTGCTTAACTCTTTTATAGCTGGCTTCTGAATGCCACAAATCAATTCTGTATTTCCTGTAAATGAACTTTCAGTCCACAAGATGCCAAGAAAAGCTGGTCCTGGAAGTTGAGAAATGAAACTCACAAAGAGGTTTCCTTTAGAGACTATTCTCTGTATGCAAAGGAAATTTAGAAGTGTGTCGATTTAGATGTTTTTAAGTAGATTCTCACCCATATTCCATATGCCCCACTGAATTACACAAGTAGAAGCAATTTCTCAATAGAGAAAACTAACCAGAACAGCTATACTCACACCTTAATGCTTACAGTGGAAGGTATGAAATCTCTGCTGAAACACACTACCAAACTACAAGCCACATGGAAGTAGCTCTGTTTGAGTCTATAGTCAGGTAGAAATTCTTCCCTCAGTAGCATGCCAACTCCCATCAATGTTTAATGTGGCAGAGCTCTGACCTTGTCCCCATGGGTCCTGCACTTCCAGGTGGTTTATGCTAGCCTCAGAGGCTCATTGCAACCCTCGACATAGCCCTTCTCTCTCTACAGTCTACTCAGCCCTTTTCATCATAAGCCAACAAGGAGGTTGGTGAGAGAACACCCACAGTCTCTGTTGTCCCTACGGGCTTGTTCCAGAACAGTTTAGCCTCCTGTACTGAGATGGGCCTGTCTTACCCTCCCAGGAGGTGTTTCTGTAGTGGCGGGTTGGGGGGAACCCGGGCCCGCCTTCTACTCCAGGTTCTGGCCCAGGGACCCTAATGGCAGCAGCTGTTGGCAGCCAACCTTTCACCGCCAGAGTTGCTACATTTCCCTGGGCCACTTCCCCAAAGCTCTCCCGCTGCTCTCTCAACGCCTTCTTCACCCTTACCTTAGGGCTCCCTTTCCAGTGGCTTGAGGGTGTCTTCACTACCCAGCCGCTCAGCCACACTTCCTCTCCTCTGGCTCCCTTCGGCCTGACTGGAGTGAGCCCTTTTATACTATCAGAGGGGCCTTAATTAGACTCAGGTGTTCATATTAGCTTAACAGCCTCACCGGACTATTTGCAGGTTAATTGGAGCCAGGTGTTCTCATTTGCCTAACAGCTTCAACTGACTCTTTGCAGGCTAATTGGAGTCATGTGTCCACCCTAGCCTGGAGCCGCCCCTGCTCTACTCAGTCAGGGAACAGAAAACTGCTTATCCAGTGGCCAGTATATCTGCCTTCGACTACTCTGCTGTACCCAACTGGCCTGGGTCTAGCACATTAAGAGTTAAACAAATGCACTTCAAAGAGAAAAAAGACCGCTTTGGTGTCTTTCCACATCCTCCACTACCTTTTAAATCTTTTAGAATTATAATGAGGAAGCAGCACAGAATTATTTACCTGAATAATGTCTGAAAGTTTATGTAATCCAGCTGTGTTGGTAAATATCCCAGTACCTAGAGAGGACAGTATATTAACTTCTTTTTATGTAGACAAATGTACATATGTATATATACCCGTACCTGAGCGCGCACAAACACACACATAAATGTGCACTGGACACATCCACATCTCACTCACTACCACAATTATGAATAAAGTGGCTTAAAAATATCATTGGATAACAAAAAAGAAACGAAACCAGCACATTGCCAGCACTTTGGTGTGCAACGAGAGCATGACTTGATTTCATAATATTTTGTCCCATCTCCATCCTGCACTGAGAAGCTCTAATGTAAATTAGCTTTCATACCCCTCACATACATTAATAATCAATGACAAAATCTCAATGGAGGTTCTCTAAACTGAGAGTCTGGAATTCTGGAAATAATGGATACTAGCTGTTTATAAGATATTTCAAAAGGGAACTTTATGCCATTTCTCTTCTAGGAGTAATAAGGCTTCCTGCCCCTTGACAAGCACCTGACCACCTCCCACTGAGTATTATTGCCCAGTTAAGACGGTAGCATATCAATGAAGCACTTTTGAGTGATATCAGTGAAGCACTTTGAGAGATCCTGCAGACTATGCACATAAACAGGCATTTGAGAATTGACAATTTGAAAATTGTCAGTTTTCCGCTTGCTGAAACTATGACAGCTGCCTTTTCACTTTTAACTGCCTCTTCACAAGCCTGTGGCACAATTAATGTTGCTCCCATGCAAAGGGAATACAGGAAGAACATTAGGTGAATAGCGCTCATTCTCCCTTTCTCATTATGCCCCCAAAATATGGAAGCTTCCATTTGCCGTCATCTGTAACTTACAGAACTATATATAGTAGCCACAGTGACAGGCTTACACTTACGGCCTGATAGAAATTGTTCAATCTGTTCCAGCGACTCTAGGAGGGAGGTTTTGGTTTGGAATGTGATCTGGGCCTCTGCAAACAGATCAAAGATGTAGCTGCAATTCAAGAAGAAAAATATAATTGGACAAACTTTACAAATAACCCTACATTATTTAATAACAGCAATACCTTGCCCTTGTAGTTCACGGTATTCCCTTCTCCATGAGCAATAAGGGTAAATAAAAATAGTAACTACTTTGTTACAAGATTAACTGAGATAATGCTGGGATATTTTTGTTTGAAAGCTTAATGACTTTCACCACCACATCATTTGCAATTACTTTTCATGCACACCTTATTACAACACATAATTTCCTGTGGTTTACAAACAGTTCTGTAGAGCCTGAAGTACATCAACCAGAACATAGTTACACTGGTACCTTAATATGAATCAGTATCTCACAAGCCAGCATTTGACGGAAACAAATAAAGACCATTGTCCAGTTCAACATACCCTATTATTCACCCACCTGCTCCATGCCAGACTTTCCAAACTTTAACTTATTATTTTTATAGGAGCTGTGGTCTCCAGCTTACAACATGGTTGGACCTTGCTATTACTAAATAGTGAGAGGCTAAACAGTAAAATTCCAATCACAGTAGGATAATACTGTATTCAAAGCATTGTATAATAAACAAACTACTCGCTATTCCTAAAGGCATGGGGTCAACTGATTTAGGGTCACATTTGTTAGATTTCATAATTAGTATAATCTGAGGCTGAAATGCTCTTCAGAGTTTAAAAACATAAATTACTGAAATACCATGAAAGTAAGCAAGTACAATGGGGAATGTTTTATGGGGACCCACTGAATATACTGTGTGTGTAGAGCAACAGTTACATAATAAAAGCTGGATCCCAGAGCTAGGGTAATATTACTAACGTTAACAGCTAGTATGCCTTTTAAACACGTATTGCTACTTGCTGTCCTGGAGGCTTCCTATTTCAGATAATGGTGTTACTTTCATATGGAACTTTGGAGGAGAAACTCAGATTGGAGACAGACTCATTAGGCCAGAAGTCTCTTCTCCTAACATATAGACACTCTAAGGAGGAGGATAATACAATCTCAGAGCACCAATTGGCACCTACCTCCCTTCTTTAGTGACTCCATTTCCATTAGCTGGCAGCTGCACAGCATCAATAGCATTTTCGAGTTGAAGAAGAATTCCTTTAAGGCAATCAAAGGAGAAAACAGTTCAATTTTCAGTAAATGAAAAATTCAGAACTCATCTAAATGAGCTCTTTCGAATGGCCTTTGTTACAAAGATAGTCACCTAGTTACTCCCCCTAAACCTAGCTATTATCTTGTTTCTGTAACCCAACCTAATATTTTTAAAACTGCTGAAATATAAATTTTAAGTTATTTCAAATGTTTAATTTTTAAAACCTCTAAACATTTATATTTATAGAGCACCTATCATCCAAAAGCCCTTAGCAAGCATTTATTAAGCCTCACAACATCCCTGTGAGATATAATTTATGTAGGAAAGTAAAATATATGTATGTTTGCCTATTTCCTTGCATTTACAAGGGATTCTCAGACCTAAGAGAACTGGCTACTACGTGAGATTTTAATAAATACACAATCTTTCACTCAGTCTGACACCTTCGCAAATTTCTCTCACTAAGGACCTCTTTAATTCAGTGGCAGGTCACCATATTTGTATAGCTGAACCTAGAAGATGAGGGTTATGTGACCATGGGAGCATCAATAGTTAACAGGTAAGAGAAACAAGGCATAATAGTACCTAGCTCTTCGATAGCACCTTTTATTAGTAAATCTCAAAGCACTTTACAAAGGAGGTCAGTATCCACATTTTACAGATGGGGAAACTGAGGCACATGGAGATTAAATAACTTGCTGAAGGTCACCCTGCAGGCCAGTGGCAGAGCCAGGAATAGAACTCATGTCTCTCTGGAGTCTCACTCCAGCGTTCTATCCACTGACCCATATTGCCTGTTCATAACAGTGAACTTTATACTGAGGACATCCAATTACACAGTAAACTGAGATTTTACATGCCACTTTATTCTATGACACTCTGAACTACTGTTGCTGATCTTTTGCTCGCTTACTAGAAGGAAGTATTCTGATTAAGTGAGAGCCCCACAAACAGGCAAAGCTAGCAATATGAACAGCTCATCCAAACAGCTGAAATATTGTCTAGCCCATGCTGCGTAATTTCTGTGATTAATTTGAAGCTGTAGGACGGAACTGTGGAACTAAGCATTTGAAAATATTTACTGGCAACAAGAATATTCAAAATCCCCCATTTAACAAAGCCTTGGAGTCACTTTGGTAATGTATGGGACCCTGAAGTTTTCTGGCCTGCTGAGTTTAAAAACATTATCAAAATTTCCATTGTACTTCCTAATGCCATAACCCAGGATTACAGATCTCAAACTCACCTTGCACTGCCCAGGCAACATGAACAATCAGAAGAGAGATCATTGTTGCAGGGGTTGCAAATTAACCATTTGCCCTCAAACATTGTGGAAGTGTTCCCAGAATCAAGGTGCTATTGGATCAATTTTCAAAAAGCTGCTCTGTTATTGCCAGCAAAGCTCTTTTCTATTCCAACATGTATTGTTTTTTGGTGGGATGAAAAACGTTACTTAAGGTCAAACTCTTTAGTACTAATTCAGCTGTTGGCTGGCAGAATTGTCGTTGCAGCGGAGTGATACAACCAATGCACCACCAAAAGAGAGATGGACTACAAAATTTGGAAAGTCCTTGTAATGGTGAAAATAACTAGCTGTAGGAGGCATTCTTCTCCCAGCTATACAAACCTCTCAGCTATACTGAAAAAGGCTGAATGCTCAAAGGACCAGAACACTTGACAAAATTTCTCTCTAAAACAAACAGAAGACCCTTCCCTATGAAGATTTCAACGATGTGCCTGACAGCTGTCAAAGGGTGCCATGGAAAGAGGTTGATTTACAATCATTTCCCAGAGCACCTTTTTTTCCTATTGTATCAATAGCAATTTTGTTGAGATAATTCAAAACAGAAGAAATGGTACTTACTCTTTATCTTTGCTATATCTTCAAGCTCCATGCTCAGCCCTGTTTGAGAGGGAAAAACAATTCACTCCTAATTGCACAGGGATTAGATGAAGTGTGCAGCATTTGAGGCAACTGTTTCTTAACTTAATCCCAACTTTCTCACATTAATTTTTCAACTTGCATTTTTCATTTCTCCAAGTGAGACTATTGTTGCCGACTGCCTTTCTGGATATTACAGTTTTTGAAGGCTAGACTCAAGTGTTCATACAACTACATCTTTTGTATTCTATTTACTTTTCTCCTCTTGATTCCTTATCTCATGTTAAAAGGTTTGGCTAAACCTTGATGTGCTTGGTTACCATAGGTTAGAAGAACAGCAACAATGTTGGCCAAGAAGAAAGTTCATCTATCCACCACCCACATTTGACCTTCCAGGGACTGACTAAGGGAAACAGTTATTTTCCAAATTTGTTGACACAGCCACCCCCCCCCCCCCCCCCACATCTCTTGCAAACCATTAGTCCCCAGCTATCAACACACCTGAGCTGGCAAACTCCATATTGAATTCAGCATGGATTTCATTTTGTTGAACTACTTTGGCTTGTTCTTCCAGGACCAAATTTATAGCATCCATGGCCGAAGCCAAGTCGTAGGGAGTCAAGTCAAAAGAAGATGACTCTTCACACAATTTCTCCTGAAATTCCAAGAAAATACAGAATTTATTGTTATTTGGATTCTAGTACTGCCCTGCATGTGCTGGGCACTTCAAAGATTGTAAGGCCAGAAGGAACCAATATGATCATCTAGTCCAACCTCATATACAACAGAGACCATAGGACTTCCCTGAATTAATTCCCATTTGAAATAGAACAGATCATTTAGAAACACATCCAGTCTAGATTTAAGTTTCCAGTGACAAAGAATCCACCACAACCCCTGGTAAATTGTTCCAGTGGTTAATTATCCTCACCGTTAAAAATTGCTACTTATTTCCAGTCCTAGGCCATGTCTACACTTACCGATAGATAGGAGTTGTTGCAATCGATGCATCGGTGTTGATTCAGCGGCTCTGCTGAAGATCCGCTAAGTTGATGGCAGAGCGCTCTCCCATTGATTCCAGTACTCCAGCTCCGCGAGAAGAATATGTTAAGTTGGTGGGAGAGCGTCTCCCGTCGACACAGCACAGAGTAGGCACCACGGTAAGTCGACCTAAGCTACGCTGACATCAGTTATGTTATTTACGTGACTGAAGTAGCGTAAATCATGTTGACTTACTGCGGTAGTGTAGACAAGGCCTATATTTGTCTAGCTGCAACTTCCAACCACTGGATTGTGTTATAACTTTGTCTGCCAGATTGAAGAACCTTCTATTATCAAATTTCCATTCAACACATGCACTTATAGGTAACCTTATTCTTCTCTTTAACAACTAAATAGATTAAACTCCCTGAGTCTCATTATATGGCATATTTTCCAACCCTTTAATCATTCTTGCGGCTCTTCTCTGAACTCTCTCCAATTTTTCAACATCCTTCACTCTTCAGAGTCACTGCTTCCCAGGATAGACTCCTCAAACATGAAATTATGGCCTACATTTTTTGTTCCTAGACGTATCACTTTGCAATGGCCATATTACAACAAATATTATTTGCTTGCACCCAGCTTACCAAATGATCTGGATCACTCCGTATTAGGGACCTGTCCTCTTCATTATTTACAATTCCCCCAAACTGTGTCTCATCTGCAAACTTTATCAGTGACGATTTTATGTTTTTTTTCCAGGTCATTGATAAAAATATGAAATAGCAGAGGTCCAAGAATGAATCCCTGCAGGACCCCACTAGAAATCCACATGCTTGATGATGATTCCCTATTTACAACTACATTTTGGGACCTGTCAGCTGGTTTTTAATCCATTTAATGTGTGCTATTTGATTTTGTATAATTAATTTCTTAATCAAAATTTTCTGTGTTACCAAGTCAAATGCTTTACAGAAGTCTAAATATATTACATCATTTCTATTACCAATTTGTAATCTCATCAAAGAAAGGTACCAAGTTAGTTTGACAAGAGCTAATTTCCATAGACTCATGCTGATTGGCATTAATTATATTACCCTTCTTTATTGAGTGCCGTATCAGCCTTTCCATTGCTTTGCCTGGGACTGATAACAGGCCTATAATTACCCGGTCACCATTTTCACTCTTTCTAAATATTAGCACATTCATTTTCTTCCAGTCTTCTGGAACTTCCCCAGTGTTCCAAGAGTTATTGAAAATCAATATTAATGATCCAACAGAGCTCCGCAGTCAGCTCCTTTAAAACTCCTAAATACAATTCCTCTCTGTTTGTCAAGATGAGGTCTAATACTGAATTCCCCTATGTGGGATGCAACACGTTTTGAGTTAGCAAATTGTCATTAAAATATTTACAAATTCTGAGGACTTTTTAGTACTGGTGGCACAAGCACTCCAGCATGTGTCATTCAGATTGAAGTCCTCCATGATAATGCAATTTTTTTCCTACGCATTATAGTTAGGCACTTGAGGATACGGTCATCCTGTTCCTTAGGGTGATTTGGTGGTCTCTAGCAGACCCCAATTAGTACTAGGGATGTAAAATATTAAATGGTTAACTGGTAAGTATTAGTCCTACCGTTAATCCACCCTAACCATTAACTCCCAGCCGCAGGCCTGGTTGGGCCGGCCGGAGCGGCCCCAGCCCCTCTTCCTTTAATCGGTTAAACAATGTAATTTTAATAGTTTAAATGGTTAACTTTTTAAACAACATTTACATCCCTAATTAGTACCCCATCTTGTGCTGTATCTGTTAGGACACTGACCCATAAGCATTCAAGATAATTTGCTTCTGACTTGTCAGAGACTCAGAAACAGGTAATGCCACTTCTGACAGCCTGCCACTACTCCTCCCCTTTTGCCCACTTGAACCTTTTAAATAGGGTAAAACCACTGACTTAGCATTCCAATAATGCAAACCATCCCACCCAGTTCCAGTAGTACCTGCTAAGTTGAATTTATGCTCATAAATAATCAATTCCAATTCCTCTTGTTTACTACACAGGTTCCTAACATTGGTGTATAGACAACTAAAGAATTTCTTCGCTTCACGTGTCTTGGTACCTTGATTAATTTTGTTCTGAACATCATGGTTTGTTGTAACTGAGTGCTTACTACTTCTCTCTTTTCACCATCCCGTTTGTTGCTAGTTTAATGCCCTCCCTGTCAAGTCTAGCCAGCCTGTACCCTAGAAGAGTGGTTCCCATTCTACTGAGATAGAGGCCATGCAAAGTGGACAGTCCCCTCGCCCCTACAGAAGGTGGACCAATGTTTCACAAAACCTAATCCTACTGCCTTCTGCCATTTACCTAGCTAGCGGTTTACTTCTAAAGTCTTCTGCCTTCCCTTGCTCATGGCAAAGGAAGGATTTCAGAGTAGATCACTAGAGCATTCCTCTCCTTCAGTACCCTTCCGAGTTCCCTAAAGTCATCTATGATCTGTGAGGTATCCTGGGAAACAGCATCATTGATGCCTTACTCATCATTACCAGTGGATCTCTGCCTGCTGAGTTCAGAAGTCTATCCAGCCTTCAAGTCACATCTGGTGTCTTTGCTCCGGGAAGACCGCACACAATCCTGTTTTCTGCCTGCTCCTTTAGAAAGGATGTTCTTCTTCTTCTTAGTACAGAATCCCCAAAGGGGATTTTCTGTCTTCCTTAGTTGGTTGGAAATCTCTTTGTGGGTACATTTGATTGTTTTGTGGGTTGGGCTGAGTAGCCAACCTTACAGGTATGTCCTGTCCAGCTCTTTGTTTCATTTGACCAGCTGCATCTTCACAGACTATATCCTCAGTTTCTATGCTGAGAACATGATTATTATTAGATTCTTCTACTTATGTGGAATTCCTCCTGGACTGATTCTGTCTGGTGGTCATGGCCTGCCCCTCCTCTCCTGCCTCCAGCCATGTAGAATGCACCTGAACTTCTTGCCTCTGATCGTTACAAACTGCCAACTCTCCTCTCTGGTTCCCAATCTGCTTTGGTGACCAATTTCTTTCTTTCTTGAATCTTGGGTGGCAATGCTTCCTGAATCTGGATGTCCAATAACTCCTCAGCCTCTCTCATACTCTGTGGTGTATGCGCTTGTCCTTCCACACCACAAATATTTCCTTCCACAAAATTTTACAGGAACCAAACCATTCCTGTCCTTTGCAGGACTTCTTCTGGATTTGAACTTGGGACCTCTCACACAAGAAAGAATCATACCACTAGACCAACACGTATATGAAGATGCAGTCCCCTGAACTCAAGATGGCAAGTAATGAATGAACGTAGAGGGATAAAATACAACATACATACATGCCATCTTAGATTTAAACAACACACACACACACAAATAAAGAAAATAACTATCAACTATGGAGAAGGGAAATGAATACCCTTACATAAGAGATGTGGTCTAATGGGAAGAATTGGGAAGTATTCAGATCTTAGTTTTGACAGTACTTCTCTGTAGCCTTGGCCAAGTCACAGCCCTCTCTGCCCCAGTTTCCTCATCCATAAAATGATGATAGTATTGACCTTCCTCCCAGCTGTGAGAAATAGTAAGGACTTGCTTACATGGGGAAACTGAGATGCAGAATAAGCTATTACACAATAGCTATACTGGAATAGCTCCCCACATGGATGTGCTATTTTGGAATAAAAGTCACTTTTATTCCAGAATACAGTCATAGAATTTAAGGCCAGAAGGGACCACCAGATCATCTAGTCTGATCTCCTGTATAGCAAAAGTCACCAACACTACCTGTACACTAAACCCATCAACCAAAATTAGACCAAAGTATTACAGCCCACAGGAGATTTGATTATTATGTTCAACAGGAAAAGAATAAGAGGGATTGAGGGGCACCACTGCCCAAAGCCTCTGCAAAGACTCTCTACAGGGTGAGCAAAACAGCTTATTCCAGACTAGCTATTTCAGTCAATTTCCATGTGTAGACAAGCCCTAAGACTTATAACGTGCTGTGACAAGGAAAAGCTCTGTGGGAACCGGGTTCACTTTTTAATAGAAAGGACTGTTTTGATTAAGGCGCTGTTGGATTAATATTCCAACACTAAAAATAATTTCTATACCTACCTCAGGCCAAACATCCTCTACTTCTAGCAGCCATTTTACAGCAAAATAGACAACAGAAAGAACAGGCACTCTAGAAAATAAAACTTGCCGCTGCCAGAGAGAAATTCAAAGTGGTGTAATTTGGCAAATCAGAAGACACATTTTAAGAGTTCCTTTGTATTTCATTATCCAAGCACTGAACTAGTGTTTGAGCCAGTTAGGGATATGATCTTGTAATGCAACACCTTCTGGTATCTTCTTGATAGGAGGAGGGTGCCCTGGCAGGAATCCAATCTTCCCTTTACAGAGTTCCTACTCAAAGAGACCACCAGCTGTTTCTTTGTTCTTAAAAAAACAACTCAACAAATATGCCTGTGAAATAAATATGATTTTCTATCATTGCTGAGACACTCACGTGCTATCCAGCATTTAAAGGTGAGATAGCCCATGTCAGAGCAGAACTAATACAATGGGGTGTGGTAACTGGGGGTGGGGGGGCTCTCTAGTTGTCTGTTTGTAATAAAGTACATGAAACTACATCAGAGTCTGCTTTTCCAGGTTCCATCTACAAGGTAGGAGTACTCACTGCCAGCAGAGACTCAATACTTTCATCATGGAGCTCACATTCCATAGAAGCTGAACCTTTCTGAACCTAGAATCTTTATTTCCAAAATGTTTGCTTTTTGTCCACCCAATTTGCATGTGCAGCTACTGCAGCTGTGTGTCAAAGTGACTAGTTTAGGCAGATGTACTAGTTAGGCACATAACTAAATATCTAAGTGCAGCAGCAATACCTGAGTGTGCAATCACAGAAATCCTGTGCACTTTTGAAAATAAGAACCAGAATGATCAAATCTGCTTAGTTATTCAGCAAGCAAATAAAATTCCACATCTCTCCCAAGTGCAACACAAACACCTGAAAAACCAGAACTGGACCAGACTACTATGGCAAGAACTGGTCAATTTCTTCACTAATCATCACTTCTTCACTTCTAATCACCAATTATACAAGAAACAAGACAGGTGCTCCAGGGCTGCTTGCCAAATGAAGTACCTAGCAATTTCCTGATTCTGAAGTCATTTGAACAACATTCCATAGGAAACTGATTACTTGCACTTTCCAGCAGAAAAGGGGTTAAATCCCTGGTGCCAGCTGATCCAAAGATCTGCCAGGATTGCTTCAGGAAAGCCTGACTCAGAAGCGATAAGGCTGTGCAAGAAACTCTTCCACTAGAACAGTAAATAAACAGTTCTGCCAGGCACAGTGTTACTCAGGGGCTCTGCTGTACTGTAAATGTAGGTCTTTCAGATAGGTTTCCAAGATCTAGCACTGAGTACAAACTGCTGAGTAGGTCTGGGTGCTCACTGGGCTTAATCACTGGTTTGAATAATTCATCCTACTTCTTCATTATGTAAAAGTTTTACCTGTAATGCTAGGATATTCAGTCCTCAGTGCTTCAGGAGCCAAATCAACATTACCCAAAAGAGCCATAGTAGTGTGACTTCATTGTTTCATTTACTATAGTACTATATATAAACAGCAGGACAGGGGACATATTGAGTATATATAATTCTCACAGCAAAATGACCGATCAAGTATTATTTTCTCAACCACAATTGGTTAACAACATAGTAAAGGCATCCTGATTGGTTAATAACTTACACTGGTTAATAATCAAATCACAGTTTTAATATCATGTGCTGCAAAAAGCCGCAGGAGACACATTAAAGAGCCACGCAAGCCTCCGTCTGAGCATCACTGCTGCAAATACGTGTTCTCTTTGCTCTATATCCAACACACCCTAAGCGAAGGACACAATGCAAGAAGCTGCACTGATTGTATCATATCTATTTAATTCCTTGATATCAGAAATTGGGGATAAAATCACTGCCAGAAATGCGAAGCCCCTGACAGAAGAAGACTGGGAGCAATATCAGAATCCTGAATTCCTAATTGATCACACAACTATAGATGGAGAGTGGAAGGTGTACTGCTACAGACATCGGTTTAGCTAATGCTAAGATTCATGCAGAACACAAACCCACTTCAACATAGACGGAGTCGCAAATGTATACTTAATAACCACCTTTCTAAACTGATCATAGTAGCAGCTGAAGTAATTTCTTTTACTGTAGCTTTCACCTTGTTACATGTACAAGGGCCAGATTTCGTGTTTGGGTGAAGAAGGGGAAATGGTGGGGGAAAAAAATCAGATATAATTTACCACATTGTGAGCTTCATCGAGTATTACCACAGTCCCTTTCAGATCTAAGTTGTGTGCTCTCCGGCTCTAAAAGCAAAAACAAAGGGGACACGGGTGAGATAGCAACACTGCCTTCAGACACAGCTTGGTGAACTGGACCATGAGAGAGTTTGGACGGGACATAATTCACTATGGAATGTGGCAAGCAAAACAGTTTTGGCTGCTTACACTGCAACATAGTCCCTTGAAATGGAGATAGTCAATGTGTCCTCTAGAGGTAAGAACAAGGCCATATACCTGTGCTGAAAGTTAGATGACATCATGGGTCCATCTTATGAATAATAGCAGTCTGTCTTGTGAAGGAGTGGGATTGGGACCCAAAAGGTGAAACTGAGAGGCACTCACATGCATAAAAAGAAGATAATACTAATACCTTAAGGGATGCATTAACGTATTATAACTCATTCCAATTTCTCTTTTTGTCATTAGTATTTTCTACATATATTTGTTTGTCATCCTTGCAAAAAGAGAACACACCCACAGTATTATGTGCAGTACAATTATAAAGTTCAATCAATTCATTTCCTAATATCCTCTTCATCTTTAACTCACTTTCATATTCTGTGACAGCCGAAAGACCAGCCTGCTCTATTTAGCACTGGTGAGGCCTCAACTGGAGTACTGTGTCCCGTTCTGGACATCTATCCTTAGGAAAGATGCGGAAAAACTAGAGAGAGTCTAGAGGAATGCTAGAAAAATGATAAAAGCTTTAGAAAATCTGACCTGTGAGGAAAGGTTAAAAAAACTGGGAATGTTTAGTTGTGAGAAAAGATGACTGAGGTGGACCTGATGATAGTCTCCAAATATGGTAAGGGCCCTTACAAAGAGGATGGGGATAAATTGTTCTCAGTGTCCACTGAAGATAGGACAAGAAATAATGGGCTTAATCGGCAGCAATGGAGATTTAGGTTAGCTAGTTTTGAAGTGAACCACCTCAGGAGTTTGCTTGCTATGCACATTCTTTCTGGCATATCCACTAGAATCTGACAAAAAAAAATCAATAAAATCAATAAAAATGAATTTAAAAATAAAAATGTTACCTTTGAGTCTAGTAAATAGTTGTAAGGCATAAAAATAATATCTGCTTGCTGCTTCAGGCTCCGAGATAGATAATAAGGACAAACTCTGTTTAAAAAAAAAAGTATGAACTATAAAACAATATCCACAGAAATACTAAAGTGCACTCTGGTTTCATTTATTATGTTTCAGGCTCTCAAAGGTTTCTAATCAGCTTTTTAATTGACTGGAACATTAGACCTTAAGGCAGATCATAGAATCATAGAATATCAGGGTTGGAAGGGACCCCAGAAGGTCATCTAGTCCAACCCCCTGCTCGAAGCAGGACCAATTCCCAGTTAAATCATCCCAGCCAGGGCTTTGTCAAGCCTGACCTTAAAAACCTCTAAGGAAGGAGATTCTACCACCTCCCTAGGTAACGCATTCCAGTGTTTCACCACCCTCATAGTGAAAAAAGATGCCTCGCTTTATCCATGTGGGCCCTTCTTATTTATACTTCAGTAAAAAGGAACGCCAGACTTAATACCTAACTGCGCAGTCCACCAAAACACAGATCAAGATACCAAACAGGAGAAAAATGAGGTGACTTGGTGATTAATGCACTAATCTTTCTCCCCTGGAGACCAGGATTCAATGCTGGATTAGATCATTAAATCTCTAGTGGTAAGAGATTTTGTGGTCTCATCCACCTCATAAAACCACCACATCACCTGCATAATCAGCAGTTCCTCCTCAGGTATGCCTGACTGTGATCAGTATTTTGTCTGTGCAGCAGATCAGGACTCAAATACACCATCAGCTCGAGGAAGAGGTACTAAGGCCTCATCGCAGAGATGGATTTCTTGAGAATTGTTTGCACAACATCATGTAACTACTCAACTCTGGTCATTGCTGCTCATCTGGAACTTTTAGGTGTGTCAAGTTCATACAAATGCATTCCCCAGAACAAGGACACTGAGGAACTTTACCTGTGCTTGCTTCCATTTTTAACCAAATCTTCAATATCAAAGATGGAGTTGGTCAGTTCCTTCTCTGTACTCTTCTCTGTGAAGGAGATAACGAACAGTTACAGAAATCGAAGCAAATAATCACAAAATCAATCACATCTGTACTTCGCTCCGAATTCACTGGATTCTATCGAAATCTCTTGTCTTGATTCCCTGGATTGAAACTAAGGCCTGAGGTTATTCTCTGTGCAATAATCTAGAGCCAGCTGCGCGGTAGCTCCACCAGCATTGAGTGCTCCGGCTGTTGTTTACTCCTCGATGCACAAACTTCAGACAAACACACATTAGCATTTGAAGATTTCAGTCAATTTTGTATTTTGTTCCATCCACTCCACAGAGAACTGTTATATAAATAGTGTTTGATTTTACCCTAATGTCCATATTGCAAGGAACAATCCTGCACTGGATCTCTTGGGATGGACTAGATGTAACCTAGCACAGTGGTTCTCAAAGCCGGTCCGCCACTTGTTCAGGGAAAGCCCCTGGCGGGCCGGGCCGCTTTGTTTACCTGCAGCGTCCGCAGGTTCGGCCAATCGCAGGTCCCACTGGCCACAGTTCGCCGCTCCAGACCAATGGGGGCTGCAGAAAGCGGCGCGGGCTGAGGGACGTGCGGGCTGCCCTTCCCACAGCCCCCATTGGCCTGGAGCGGCGAACCACAGCCAGTGGGAGCCGCTATTGGCGAACCTGTGGACGCAGCAGGTAAACAAACTGGCCCGACCTGCCAGGGGCTTTCCCTGAACAAGCGGCGAACCGGCTTTAAGAACCACTGACCTAGCAGGTCCTTTTCCAACTTTAATTTCTATTATTCTATGAAATCTGGCCCTGCGGCTTCTAAATTCCCGGACAGGCTCCAAGAAAATGTGAATACCTGCTGATTTAACTCTTAATTACATTTTACAACATGTGTAGATGATAGCTTGTGAGCTAATACTCATCTTGGTGCCATAATTTTTTCAATGGTTTAGTCCTAACCTAATTTCTGATTTGCTCAGTTCCTCCAGCCCAAAATTCAATGACCTGAAAGCCTTATAATTCACACAGGCAAGAGGAACTGCTATCCCTTCCTTAACTTGGTCTTGTGCTGAAGAAGGATGTGTGTGTGTGTACGTGTGTGTGTGTGTACACATATTAGTAAAAATTCAGGAGGACAGTTTACTGGTCTAAGCTTCATCTTAAAATACACAGAACCACAGGTTTGAACCCCAGCAGTCAACCCAGCCCATCATCCTTCAGAGGATACAATAAGCACAATACAGTTTATTGAATGGGGGTTCTGCAAGGACATTTAAAACCATCTGCACTTGAAGACAAGGGGTCTGTCATCCCACACCAGCAGACTCCTTGGATACTTCCTCCCAGCTCCCTTGAACTGTGTATCATGCAGCATGATGGTTGTCTGCTGAGTTGCAGTTCAGTAGTGCTGACAACTGTTTGGTGACTAACATGAAATTAATTTGTGGTCTGATCCAAACCCCACTTTCTCATTTAGCTCAATTGCTAGCAGTCACAGCAAAGAGGCCAAGAGCTGAATGGGCATGTAGAACGAAATACACTCTCACTCCTAGAAGGGCCTCACCAGGTCAGGGGTGAAACATATTGCCGGGATTATATGGATAATTTGCACTGTTGCTGCTCCTGCTCTGTTTTGTGGACAAATTAAAAGGATTTCAGTCTTCAGGGATATCGACCCTGTACCTTTCCTGAGCATTAGCTTAAAAACCTATTAAAAGTAAATGTACATGCATACATTCAGGTGCTGATGGGTTCTCTCATTCCTTTTCAATTTCCCCATCTACCTGCCAGGCATCTCTCTGCCCAAAATCAGGGCATTGCCTCCACAGCCAAACTTACCCTCCACATTGTTATAGAAATGGCAAGTACGAGCCATCACTTTCATTCGGCACATGTGGATCTGCAAGATAAAGCATATTTCAGGGCGCAAAGGTACAGCTTGCCCAAGGCTGTGGAGGGAGAGGCAGGGTAAATGAACATATTCAGGGACACTCGCTCAGCATAATAAGGAATGGAGAAAGATTTCTCTAAAAAACCAATCCCTTTTCTTCTCACATTTTCTACAGACCGTGATCACGGTGCAGCATCCACCCCAACCAAGCACGAAAGAGGATCAGATTATAATCCACAGCCTACGAACATGTGGCTTCACTGGACTCCTTCATAATGAGGCTGCTATTTTTTCCCAAATTTTTTCATCTCCTAGGATTTTACTTGTACATCCATCGTTAAGCCTCCATACTTCCCATAGATAGGTTCCCTCCCCAGGGGCATCCACCTGCCTGAAGAAGCCGCCAAACCTCCCTCTGAGACCCTTCTAATACTGCCTCTTTATTCAGCTACCAATAGGGGCTGCGGAAATGCAGCATGCCCTTTGAGCATGAAGCTAGAGGAAATGCATACCAGATCATCAATAATGAGAATCAAATAGCAGGATACCAACAAGTTGTCCTGCCTAAGAAAAAGGGGAAAATACCCTCTGAGCATCACCAGTATGTTGGATTTCTACGGTACCTTTTATATAAAGACCTAAGTGCCTTACATACATTAGGCCACGTAAGGGAAGTAGTATCGAACCCAATTTAAAAATAAGGAAACTAAGGCAGAAAGAAAAGGGACACCAGTCATTTGAAATTTGGTCAATTTCAGGTAATGAATCAAATACCATTACAGGGTCTACACCTGTCTACAAATCCCTGGGCCAACGTTTGCAGTTTCACAATCACATTTTCCTCTCAGTGTTCTTCCCTTCCCTATTGCTGTGTAAAACACCCAAACAAACAGGGGGAAAGTGACAGATTACTCAGTTATTTTTCCCCATTATTATTTTTTCAGCTATGGGAGTCCTTAACATTACATGTGGCAACAGTAGGTAAAACATTTTCAATCAGGAGCATGATTTTTAAATTGATGGTGTCATTTTAAACTACCTGCCCTGGGTCACTTGGCAAGCAAATGGCAGGACTGCAAGTTAAATACAGAAAACTAATTCACATGCTCTCACCAGTCACAACCCCTCTTGGAAAGGTAAATCCCAGAATTTAATTCTTCACTAACAGAGCACGACAAGAACACAAACTTTCTATAGCACTCCAACTGTATGGTCAACTAATACCTCTGAGTTTTGCCAAGGATTGTAATGAATTTCAGCATTAGAAATTACATGCCCTAAAGCCAAGATACAGTCACTTACATGTATGAGCTTTGCACAACTTCATTGTTGCATTCTTACCTGCATGTGGTTACTCTCCTGCCTCTTAACTTCAGGGTTAATACAAAGCTGCTCTCTGGAGCCCAAAACACAAACCTTTGGCCTATTTAAACAAAATACCCAAATAGCTGGTATTAAAAGGGGTGGGGGGGATGACAAGAGAGAGAAAAACAGACTTTTGAACACATATGTTGCTAGCTTGAGTCAAGTATTTCCAATGTGAAAGTTGGCTGGGAAGAATAAAAGTGGATGTCAGAAATTTGGGAATCTCAAGGCTTTTCAACAGCTACATTTCTCATCTATAACATCACAGTAAATTTTTTGTAGCAGCAATAAATTCTCAAATTTAAACATGCATTAATGAAATTATTTTGATGGGGCAGGGAGTAATCAATAGTAGCTTTAGTCAACTCTCTCAAAAGGCACCCCCACAAAACATAGATCCTGTTATAATGGCACAGCATCCCACATCTAAATACCATGGACCTAAAAAAGAACCCTCTTTTTTACTGTACTGTAATCTATTTTTTAGATAGCAGGGAGATTGGATTAATGATAATTTACTGCAGAAGCTGTGGCTGAAGGCAAGCATTCAAAATAGCTTTGTTCATTGAAAAGATATATCCATACAGATACTCAAGCAGTTACTAACGGACCTACATGAATGGGCTACATGTAGCTACATGAATCAGCACCATTGGCAGGAATACAAGCAAAATATTCTATTAACCCCGATAAACTGAAAAATCCATCTCTCCCTGAACAAAGAAAAATATAAAGCACATTTATTTTCATACACAAAAAAGTTTACAGGCTTGACTGGAAAACCATCTAGAAAACCACACTTTTTCAAAGGAACTTTTGAAGTAAAGGGGATTATATACAGGAAACTTTGGAATAGGAGTGAGAAAAGGAAGAGGAATGGGAAGCAGAATCCTCAGCATAGGAGAAAGCTACACAGTGAGCCAGAGAAGTTCCGTTTCCACCCATCTGCATTATGAAAATTGCATTCCAAGGGATACATCATCAGATATGTAGTCATCCAACGCAACACAAAAAATACCCTTTTACTCTGACTGAAAAGCATTTTCTTAATTTGTATTTACCTGTAGACTGTGCTCTTTAACTCACTGATGACTTGAGTAAGCTGAGAATGGGTTCTGGAGGCATAAATTATTTTAGGAACATCAGTGTAATAAGCTGCCAAAGGGAGAAAAAAGAAAAAAATTATTAGCACTAAACAGAAGGAAGAGCTAAAGATATCATTAGCCTGCTTTCCCCAGCTGGTGCTATGGTAACAGCGTGGCTTATGGAGACAGCAAGGAATTTTACAATCCAGCTATTCACCTATAGGAAATGAGCTAAGTGGATATTTTTACTGCCTTGTAGCAAGGAGAAAGGTTATGTGGGGCATCTTTAGATTTACATCAGTAAAAGGTAAGTGTGAAATAATGCTTTAGCTGCTAAATAATGCCATTGTGGCATTCACAGGTACATGACAAGGATAAAAGAAAAAGAAATACTAATCATCCTCTGTCATTCCTTCAAGGTTCCCAACCAAGTATAACAGTCAAAGTCTGCTTGCTGGGACATTTACCTGGGATTTCAGCATCTTTGCCAGCGTCACCCCAGGACGACATGGGTCTGTCAGGAAAGAGTTCCACTCCATTCATTCGCTGTGCAATTTTCCATTCCGAGATGGTATCTTTAAAATGCTCCCGCCAAGCCAGAGTGGCACAGAGGAGGCACAATGTCTTCCCTGTACCCGTGGGACTCTCCAAAATGCCATTCACCTTCTTTAATGTTGAGAAAGACAGGGAGAAGGAAGGAAAATTTGGGGACAGCTCAGAAATTTGCCTAGCATTGATCACCGTATAGTACAGTATTTTCCCAGGAAAAGAATAACCACATCACTGTACAGATTTATGTAGCATGATATACCTTCCACTAGAAACACATATGTACATGCTTATAAGCCTGTAAAAGCTGACACATAGAGGTACAACCTGTAAGAGCCTTTACCCCACTCAAAAAGAAAAGGAGTACTAGTGGCACCTTAGAGACTAACAAATTTATTTGAACATAAGCTTTCGTGAGCTACAGCTCACTTACTCCTTTTCTTTTTGTGGATACAGACTAACACGGCTGCTACTCTGATACCCCAGTCAAGTATCAGAGGGGTAGCCATGTTAGCCTGTATCCACAAAAATAACGAGGAGTCCGATGGCACCTTACAGATTAACAGATTTATTTGGGCATAAGCTTTCGTGGATAAAAAACCCACTTCTTCAGATGCACTACGTGGGTAAAAAAACACTTCTTCAGAGCTCCACTGACTGGGGTGGAGTGGTCAACCTAAAACACAGATTCATGGACTATTTTATCCTTTAATTCTCACAGAAATTCTCCACACTTTGCTTGACACATGACAAATTTTAGGTTAAAATAAAAGAAAATATTATAAGCTGCTGCCTTAGGCTAAAATTGGAAATGATTATAAGACTGTAGATGGAGACTGATTTGCTAAGCAAGTTAATAGTTTAAACATACACTCCATATCACAAGATTGAATCATGCAGTATAGATGATTTACACCAGGGATAGAACGGTGCCAGACATTACAGTTTTAAAACAAATTACATTCTTTTATGCCTGGGTTATGCATTGGCCAAGGCAAATTATGTCTCAACACTATTAAGGCCCTTCATAAAACAGCTTTAAAATTATATCTGCTTTTACAGCCCAACATCAGTGGGTGGTCTACTGAGCAACTAGCATTGCAGGTGTGATGAGGCTGAATGCTGGAGCGTCATGGAGAGTAAAACTTCTCTTCTTTCACAAAAGAGCTCAGGTCTTGGATAGGGTGGAACAAAGAACATAAATCTCAGAAAAACTACTTTAGGCACTCCAGGCAAAGAATAATCAGTATTTTGGAAAGCGTTTCCTTATTTGTTTGACATTCACTAAGACTATATTGCGGAGATGCCAAGTAGATACCACCATAAGTACACCATCATTTTTTTTTAAATTAAGGACAGATTGCATGAACATAAGGACTACTTATTTAGTTTTCTTTTCTTTTTTCAAGTTTCAGAGAGAGGGAAGAAAAAAACTACCTACATTTCTGCCCAAAAGATTTAACACTAACATTTCTGGCATTGTTTTTTTTTAATTGCATGCTAAAAAATATGTACAATTAAAAATAAAGTCTGGTGGAGTGGGAAGCAGAGAGTATATGAACAAGGAAGGAGAAAAACTAGGTATTTTTTCACTAGTAGTTTAAATTGTAAGAGTCGCCTTTCGCAGTTTGCAACCCAGATAACTAGGGCCCTACCAAATTCACAATTCACTTTGGTCAATTTTACAGCCATGGGGGTCTTAAAAATTAGTCAATTTCAGGATTTCAGATGTTTACATCTGAAATTTCAGGTGTTGTAACTGTGGGGGGTCCTGATCCAAAAGGGGATCGTGGGGGGGGGGTTCTAAAGCTGTTGTACGGGGGTTGCAGGATTGCCATACTCACTATCGTGCTACCTTCAGACCCCAGCTCTGAAAGCAGCAGCTGCAGAGTTTCCTGCAGCTGGAAGAGGCTCCCAGAGGTGGAGGTAGGTCCAATCTCCCCAGTGCTGCTGAGAGCACCCCAGCCAGGGGCTCCTGGCTGCTAGTCAGGGCCAGTGGTGGATTACTGCATGGGCCCATGGGGCTCGTGCCCAGAGGCCCGGGACAATTTGAAAAATGGTTGCCCTGGCAGGAGCCATGAGGGAGGTGGGGGGGAGGGGGGCAAGACTGGGTGGCCCGGAGCCCGGGCAGAAGCCATTGAGGACAGCAGCCCTGAGCCCAGGCACCCCGAACCCCAGCTGGAGCCATGGGGGGGGGAGGGGGGGCAGAGGCAGAGCTGCGGGTGGTAGCAGCCCCCAACCCAGGTCCCTGAGCCTGGGCAGGCGCCACAGGGGATAGAATCTCTGAGTCCTGGCTGGAGCCACCGGGGGGAGCGGAGGAGAAGCAGCCCCAAGCTCAATCACCCAGAGCATAGGGGCTCGGCGGGGGGGCAGCCCCGGGCAGGAGCTGGAGCTGCGGGGGGGTGACAGCACCCAACCCAGGTCTCTGATCCCACGTTGGAGCTGCAGGGGGTGGAAGCCCCAAGCCCCAGCCGGAGCTGTGGGGGCGGGGGAGGGGAAGGGAGAGAGGCAGCACCCTGGGCAGGAGCCATGTGGGAGAGGGAGCGGAAGCCCCAGAGCTCAGGTGCCTGAGCCTGGGGAAGAGCCATGAGGGCCAGCAGTCCGGAGTCCAGCTCTGGAGCTGCTGCAGCACAGAAGTGAGGGTGTATCACCCTCACTTCTGCGCTGCCTGTGGAAGTGGGTCTGATCTCTCCCCATAATCGCAGTGCAGGAGACGGACAGGTCCTGTCCCTCCCCAGCCCTGCTGATTTCCGGGAGATCAAATTTCACAGGAAAGGGCTTATTTCACAGTCTGTGACACGTTTTTCACAGCTATGAAATTGGTAGGGCCCTACAGACAATTTTACATAAATTACAATCTAGCTTCTACAAACTGTGATTTGTGATAAATGCACAGCCTCTTTCTTAAAAAAGATTTTTTTCACATTATCAAAAAACATTTACCCACCATGCTATACAAACAGCCTTTAAATGTTACAATACCTTCAAAACATCTGATACGCTAATCTATTTATTTTCATCTTTGTTTCGCTTAAAACCACCAAACTGATTTTTTTAATTAAAAAAAAAGGGCTTGCTCTTGGGTTCGGACCTGGCCCCCTTTGACAGAGAAATCCTCACAGTTATGAGCCTCTTCCCCCACCCAGACCCAAAAAATCTACATTATAAATTTTACCCTCTTGAGGTACGGTGTTATATCATGGCCTGGTACTGCTTGTGGACGGAATCAGATTGTATTATAAACACAATATAGAGCCCTGGGCGAAAGCCCTATAAAGAGCGGGCTCTGTAACATGATTATAATTCAACCTGATCACAGGTAAAACCCTGTCACTTGACACAGTAAAATCTGCATTGTAGGTAGAAGGAATTATTTTGGAAACACTGATACTCCAAATCCTAAATTGCCCTTCCCACCCATTCCCCAACACAAATGAATCCCAAAGGAGTCCACCTGACCAGTGCTGGAAATTTACTGTAACCTCTCCCAGTGCTTACCTTCTGGAGACACTCAAGCACTTTAGTCATGTATTCCTCCTGACATCTGTATGGTTGAAAAGGAAAGTCCACTGCGATGCCATTTAACGTTATCTTGGGCATACTTTATCTTACACACTGAAAGCACAGAAACCAAGAGCATGCTTTACCACGTATAATTTACAGCACACAACAAGAGGCGTATATGCTAAATATGTACATACTGCAACTTCTCATTAAAACCAATTGAAATTACACTTATATGGTAGAAGAGAGTATTGTCATTTCATTTTTAGGCAACAATATTGCCAGCAAATCACTATTTACAACAGGTACAAAGTTCACAAGGATTTAGGGCCCAATTCTGCTAAGATCTAAGCACATTCTTCTAAGTAGTCCAATGCGTGCAATGCAACTACTCACAGGAGTAAAGTTATTCACAAACTTGAATCTTTGTAGAATCGCACCATTAATGCAGCCACAGAATACGCCAAATTTATTATTCTATTTATGTTTGTTGGGGGCATTTAGTGGAATAGAATGGGCAGTCCATCATTGGAAAGTGTAAATAAATTGATACTGTCAATTTAAAGTTATATATATCCAGAGCATGGAAGAGATGCATGTAGTTTAATGTTAAACACAGAGAGCATAAATGACTTGGTCACCTCAAATACCCCCAATCCTGTCAAGTCTCCCTGCTTTGGGAGAGTCCCTCCTATCTATTCACTTCAAAGATCTGTTTCTAGAATAAGTTTGCTGTTTACATCTCAAACATTTTAAATGTCACTTTTTTTTTTTTTAAAGTGTGCCTCATTCAAATTGCACAGGCTTCCAGCAGCCTTGCCCACACAAGTCCTGGGATTTTGTCACCTTTGTCCCAAGTTTCATACTTCTTAAAATCTCCTAACTGTGCACATGTATCGTAATAAGTACTTTGCACGAGGCCTTATTCACATGAAAAAGTTGCACCTAAAAATGAGGTCAACCTAGCTACTTCACTCAGGGTTGTGAAAAATTTCATGCGCTGTGCAACATAATTAAGTTGACTTACGTCCCACCATAGACACAGCTAGATCGAAGGAAGAATTCTTCCAGAGACCTAGTTAGTGCCTCTCAGAGGTGAATTAACTGTACTGATGGAAAAACCCTTCCACTGATGTAGGAAGTATCTATGCTATGGTGCTCAGGGTCGCCACACACATGTTCCCAGAATACTGGACATTTCAGCACTTCCAGGAACAGTGGCAGTGCATCTGCATGACCTTGGCCCTGCCAGCCCCACCTACCTGACCTTGCATGCAGAAATGTGTTCAAGGTCAGGTGGGTGGGGATGAAGTACTGTTCAAAATGCCATTCCCCCAAATGATATCGACAAAGCCCTGTCCAGTTTCGTCCCAGTAGCGGATAGGGGGCAAACCACCTACAAAAGGAACTGTCTTGTATAAAATCAGACAAGTGGCCTCCCCAGCACCGTAGCTGAGCCGCTGTAGTGTAGTCAGTCTAAGACAGTGGTTTTCAACCTTTTTTCATTTGCAGACCCCTAAAAAATTTCACGTGGAAGTGCAGTGCCCTTTGGACATTTTACGCATAGTCTGTGGACCCCCAGGGGTCCATTCCCCACCCCCCCAGACTGAAAACCACTCTTCTAGGGTAAGGACAGCCTTTTGCACACCCCTCAGCCCTAGTCCGCAGACCCTCAGGGGTCCACCGCCCACAGGCTGAAAACCTAAGCTGATTAGGAGTCAGGTTAAGGTAAATCACCATGGGCCGCAGGGGAGCTGAAATAAGCAGATCCACGCAGAGGCTTTGTACACCCGCTGCCTTCCCTCATGAGCCGGCCAGAGGCGCAGAACCGCGGCGGCCCGGCCCCGAGGGGTCCTAACGAGGGTCGGGGGCTGTGATGGGCTCCCCAGGGCGCTGCTCCCCTGGTTACCCCGGAAACACCGCGGGCGCTGCAGCCCCCTGGCCCAGGCTCAGAGCGGCCGGGCTAGGATGAGGCGGGGAGCCAGGGCCCGCGCTCCGGGCAGCGGCGGCCCACGGAAGAGGCCAAGCCCGGAGCAACCAGTAAAATGGCTCGCGCCACCCCTCCCTCACCTCCCGCTCTGGCGTTCGCAAAGGCCCGCGCCCGGCGCTCGCAAGTCCCGCCCACCGCAGGCGCAACCGTGACGCACTTCCTGAGCCCGCCCCGCGCCGTCATCCTGTACGTCACTTCCGCCTCCTCCATCCCCGCCAGGATAGCTCTCGCGAGAACTCGCCCTGCGGGGCGGCGTGTTTCGCCGCGTGAGCGAGCGGCCGAAGCGAGGGGTCGTTGGCAGCGGGATGCGGGCCTCGTGTAGGGAAGGAAACCGAGCGGCCAGGGCCTGGCCCAGGAGGTGCCCGGTAGAGCGACGCCATTTTGGGGGTGTCCTTTGCTCGCCTCAGTGAGAGGAGCCAAGTGTTTCGAATGAATCCGGCCCCTTCGGAGGCGGGTTGGCTCCCCTCAGGCGGCTGCCTGACCGGCCCCAGCGGGGTTGAGCGGCTCTTCAAGCCCTACCTTAAAGGCCCACGAAACTCTTTGTCAGAGGTGGTGGCTGGGTGACCGGATGTCCTGATTTTGAGGTGTTTTTCTTACATAGGCTCCTATGACTCCCCCACCCCCTGTCCCGATTTCTCACACTTGCTGTCTGGTCGCCCTAGGTGGTGGCCTTGGCCAGCACCTCTCTCCCGTGCGCGGTTCTGCTTGGGGTCGGGTGGCTGCTCCTGGCCCTTCCCAGGTAGCCGAGTTTCAGGGGTGTGCGTGTGACGAGTGTCAGGCTGTGCAGGACCCTTGCTCTCCCTCTTCCAGGTTTAGTGTTACGTCATCCCTTCCAGCTGTGTGGTGTCTGCAGCAAGAATGCTAATGCGACCTGCCAGGTGTCTTGTGTTCGTGGGGGATGCAGACCCCCTTTGTTTTCCTCTTCCCTTCAGTTCCCTGTCACTAGCTCCTTGTCACTGCACGTGTCCAGGACCTCCTGCATCGGAAGCTCAATTACTCAGACCAAGGGCTTCCCCCAGATGTCGATGCTCACAATGAATTCCTGAGTAACTTCGGAGAGATGGGTTTCAGAGTAGCAGCCGTGTTAGTCTGTATTCGCAGAAAGAAAAGGAGGACTTGTGGCACCTTAGAGACTAACCCATTTATTTGAGCATAAGCCTTTGTGAGCTATAGCTCACTTCATCGGATGCAGCGGAGAGATGGGTTAGTCTAGGGCCTGTAAGATTCTGGCGCCCTGTACATGTATGTAATAAAAGGAGACGTGGTTTAATTAGATTCCCAGATTCTTCTATTATATTTCATGTACTCATAGAGGCTAGATATAGGAAGATAATATGAGTTCATCTACTACAGCTCTCTGTAAATGGTCCTGCTAATTCTGATGTTTTTGCATTTCCCCATACTACTAGACAGCTGTTGCATAGATAAGAAACAGAACATGGCCTCACATAGAGGTGCCACACAAACTTACAGATGCCATCCATTTCTAGCCAATCACAGGTGCTTCAGAATTTACAGGTGCCCTCAATTTGTAGTCAATCACACAGATGGTATTGTTTATACAGAAGTACCATAACTAATGCTTCATCAAATATTTGAAAATATTCTAGATAAAAGCAAACAAGCTTGAGTATATTACAAAATCTGACCTCTTTGCTGGCAGAGTCAGTAAAATTCTTTTTCTGGAGGTATTCAACTAGGGGAGATTACAGCTTCGGCTAGCCTTGCCTGGCAAGCTTGTCTTTGCATTGAAGTCATCTGACCTATAAATTGCCTGAACTTCAGCTATTTTGTTAGTGAACTACCTATGTACAGTTCACTTTAAGGCTGGGTCTGTATAAATGATTCTCATAGAGAACTTAAAAACTCCAGTTTCCCAACTTCAGCAGTCATAACAAAGCTATACTTAATAGAGCATGCTTAATTTATCTGTCCTTAATTTATCCTTCAATAATTCAGGCTTCCGTAATTCAGTCATCCTTAACAGCATTTGTATGTTCCGTGAAGCAAAGATACTTGCTTTGCAGAATTGAGCATCTTTAACTGCGGAATTCTTAAAGAATGCATCATTAGGGTGAATACAGAAAATCTAATGTAGATACACAACATTTTGAATTTTAATTACACCAACCAAACTATTTAAATTTGCTGTGACTTTTAAGTCTTAATGAGATCTACAAAATATGTCAGATTTAAAATTTCTAGCTTCACCTCTTTTGAGTATGTGGAACATATAGAAAACAAACCATTCTTTTCCCACCCGTTCCTGCTATCCCTCCCAATGTTCCAGTAAAAAGTTGTTCAACTGCTTTTGCTCAGACTTTCTCGAAAAGGTGATCGCTTTGGGGTGAACCCAAGAACACAACATTTCAGCATAAAACAAATGGGTTTGGGAAAACTCTGAGCTACTACAGAAAATTGTGAGAGGAAGAAGTGTAGTGGAGAGTGAAGGTTAGAATTCAGTCTCTATCGTGAGTAGGGGGGGAGAAACCCAGTATCATTATCACATACACCATATCTCTTTGTAATTATTCTTTGTTGTACATTGAAAAGTAATATAAACATTCTGTTGAATTGTATTTTATTGTTTGCTACAGTTTACATTAACATAATAGTAGCTACTGCAGTCCTAGCACAAACAGAAATATGAGTCAGCTTATGCTCTTGTTCAGGGGCTGATGTGACTCAGCATTAGTTGGATGCTCTCTATCTTTCTATATAATTATTTGTCTGCACCATTTACCTTATTTGACCAACTCTGCAGCTTAGCACTGGCAGGTTTATTCCCCCCTCCCCCCGCTACTCCCATTTTCTTCCCAAGAACTGTAAAGGGATGTCTGGGAACAATAAACACAAACAAACAAAACCTCACAAGTTTATGGGAGATGGTTTTGTTTCTCATTATGATGCCCTTCACAAGAGAACCATAGATGTGTATTAAAGCCAAAGTATATCTCCAGGAGATTATAGTAATGCAGAAGATTTAAAGAATGGATACTGTTGACTATTACTCCAAGTCAGAGACTCAGATTTGTGCATTTCAGATGAAGGCTAACACTTAGTCTATAGATTTTGCACCATTATATGGAGCTGTACATCTTGCTGGCTTAGCTGTGCACACAAGACTCATTTTAAAATGTATGATACCTATGCCAGCTACACTATGGGTGCTGGGAGGGGGATATGTGAGTGATAGATTCTTGCTAATCCTTTGAATCACTGCATTCTGCTCCATTTGCCAGCTCCCCTGTTTTATCTGCATCATTTCATACTGTATGACTTTGGGCAAGTTTCTTCCTCTGTCTGCCTCAGTTTCTTCATCCGTTAAAAACAATAATAGTGCTTACCTATATCACAGGGATTTTGTACAGCTACAGTAATTACAATTTGTAAAGTGTTTTAATAACCTCAGAGCCCATGTGTATGTTGTTTTTTTTTTTTTTTTTTTTTGTGCCAGAAAACAGTTTTGTATTTGTGTATGGTGAGTTTAGTGCATTTAAAGTCAACACATGAAAGTTGAAGATGGATCCTTTATGTTATACCAGAGCTTGGGATCTATTTCCGGGCTATCCATAAGGAATAAACACATTTAGGACTAACATAATAAGGCCTCTAATATCCGTAAGTAGGAAATAGGGCCTGTATACTTGCTGTTGTTATATTTATGGGCAACATACCCAGGGGAGACAATATTTCTAAGTGGTTATCCCAGGGAGCAGAAAATCCAAAGACTAGAGTTGTATTCCCAACTCTGTTTGCCATACAAATTTGGGCAAGTCATTTAACTTTTGTGACTCAGTTTCTTATCTGCAAGAATGGCACTTATTTACCTCCACATTAAGAAAGAAGTTGCTTTTTTAGAATGTGTTCACTAACATACGATAACCCACCAGAGGTAAAATCCTACCATGGACAAGGTAGTTGTAGTTTCAACAAATGGTTAAACCTTCCCCATTTTTCATAAGAAAGACAAGGCGTATATAAACGCAAGGTATTTTTTGTTATATGCCAATAGGATTAAAGGTAATCACTCACTGTACCACCTTTAAATGGGAAACAAAACCTGGGATAGATCCCTTGAGACGTGCATGAAATATATGCCATTGCGTTAAACTACATAGCCCTGGTACATCTTCTAATTAGGAAACTGAGCATGAGATAAATCTTCTGCAATCTCACGCATGCATGATTCAAATAACTGCTCTGTGTATCACTGGCATATAGAAACACTGCAGGAGATGCGTGTAGGAAATATATGCTTAAAATACTATCAAAGCAGGATTCTCACTCCCAGATTCTCCTTCTTGGAATTTAGCTCTTTCGCACAAGAGTGGAGGAACTTCAATAGTTTTCAAGCTTTTTTTTTTTTTTTTTTTTTAACTCTTGAGGTTAGTGGTAGAAGTCTAGAGCATAAGTCAGGCCCCTAATGGTCTTTGCGTGGCACCTCTGCCAAGTATAAATGTAGCTTTTGAATGTTCCAGGTAGTTCTTTCAAATGAGACGCTCTCGGAAGAACTATGTCTTGATTGGTTTCAGAGTAACAGCCGTGTTAGTCTGTATTCGCAAAAAGAAAAGGAAGACTTGTGGCACCTTAGAGACTAACCAATTTATTTGAGCATGAGCTTTCGTGAGCTACAGCTCACTTCATCGGATGCATACCGTGGAAACTGCAGAAGACATTATATACACAGAGACATCCCTTTGGATGGGCTATTACCAGCAGGAGAGTGAGTTTGTGTGGGGGGGGCGGAGGGTGAGAAAACCTGGATTTGTGCTGGAAATGGCCCAACTTGATGATCACTTTAGATAAGCTATTACCAGCAAGAGAGTGGGGTGGGAGGAGGTATTGTTTCATGGTCTCTGTGTATATAATGTCTTCTGCAGTTTCCACGGTATGCATCCGATGAAGTGAGCTGTAGCTCACGAAAGCTCATGCTCAGATAAATTGGTTAGTCTCTAAGGTGCCCCAAGTACTCCTTTTCTTTATGTCTTGATTGAAGTTTGTCCACATAAGATAAAAACTTTGACTTCAGGGAAAAATAAAAAAACAGGTGCAAGAGAAACACCTCAAAA